GATACTGCCCCCGCAGATGTTGGATATGTCCGTCCAACAGCCGGCACATCCCCTCGACCTTCGAGTCGAAGCATTTCTGGATGTCCTTCCTGCTGCCTGGTCAGCTGCCATAGCCGTCATCATTCGACAGGCACAATTACCAAGCAATCTGCATCTGGCCATCGTATACGTCCGCCTCTGGAAAGTCTGCATTACTTTGCAGAGATGGTACATCGAGCTTGAGCCATGGTGCTGCTGTGGCATCGGTGCCGAAGGCGCATTTGAACCGCTGAAATCGACCGAAGGTCATCCTCCAGGCGGTTGCACTGGGCGATAGACGTAAGTGACCAGTGATTTTTTTCAGCCGGTCGCATATGAGACGATGGATTTCTCTATCGATGAACACGGAGCCGATCGGATGTCCTAAAGCAACATTAGCCAGCAACGATGGTGAATGCCCGTGCTACGTAACGTATCACCTTCTACATGGCCAAGCTGGGAGAGTCGCGTAGGCTCACTCCGTGCGGAAAGAAGCTTGAGGACATTCACATCCTAGAACTCGTGTTGGCCTGCAGATCTGCGACAATATCACTCTGGAGCTAAGGGGGTTCATACTGTTGTTCCGCCACCAGAGTCGCAGACCATGATTGTATCATCTTGCTGTTGTCGTTAGACAAGGGCAACGATTGGAGAAAGAAAGAGTAGAAGCTGACCCGATAGTGCTCATTTCCGGCGTAGACTGCCGCTGCCTCAGCTTCGGTCAACCCAATGCAGGCACGATGGTTGGGATTCTGGACGCCAACGATCTGAGCAAGCAGCCGGCGGGTTTCTTCCACCATGCGCACGTCCTTCCATGTTGTTGGGACGCTGAAGAGGAATTCCACACGTTGCGTGACAAACTGCGGAATAGTGTTGTCGAAATACGACACGACGTGCCGGTAGACGCAACGAATATAGTCTTGGAACCATCGCTGGGCCTCTGCTAAGCTGGGACCACCGTCCCGGGGATGCTGAGGCGAGAGGTGAAGCTTGAAGAACTCTTTCAAGTCCTCTTCTGAGTTTTCTGACTCACACTGAAAGCCCCAAGCCTTGACGGTGGTTTGATCGGATCTGTACGTGATGCATGTAGGCACTTTGTTCGCCAGCTCTCCCGGCAGCTTGCCCGGCCACCGCTGAATTGTTTTGGGGGGCGGCCAGTCCGGTCCATAGGAGTAGGCCACACCTGCCCGACCAGGATTTGGGGCTAATCAGCGTTCTAGACTGCCAGAGTCTGGATGATTGGGCGCCTACCAGTGTGTGTCATGCCGAAGTCAACCCCTACCACGATGTCCGGTCGCCACTCCTCTTCCTCATGGGCAGAGGCCTTCCTTGGGGGCCCAAGGGCCTCGATGTCACTCATAGTCTGAAGGGATGAAGGGAAATGCCTTCGATAAGTTTACCTGCAAGAAAAGGAGCTGACGCCTGCTCATTAAAATGGGCTGGAAGGTGCAATCTGGTGCCCCGCTCTGTCAAATGCGGCTAAAATGTCCGTCCGATTGACTAAACGACGCTATTGCTCGACCATGACTCGCAACCCTAGTTAGTCTGCCATATATCCCTGCATTGAATTTCTGCGTTCGATTTTCGATTGATTAACCTCTAGTCATGATGGGGCGAGGAAGTACTTTAGCGCTCGCTGGGCCCTCCGTCGCCTGGCTTTCTCACACCCATGACCATGGCGGAATCACTGCAACCTCGTCAAGCGCAGACATCCGTGGCAGAGTCACAGTCGACCCTTTCAAGCTCCTTGCCTGGATACTACACGAGTTCAGCCATCTCAAGCTCATATTCTACCTCCTCTGGCACTACCTTTTCTGGCACTACCTCCTCTGGCACTACCTTTTCTGGCACTACCTCCTCTGGCACTACCTCTGACACTACCCCCTCTGGCACTACACCCTTGAGAACTACCCCTTCGCCATCTGCTTCCTCCTCAGCGACACCAGCCAAGACTGCCTCTTCTTCGGTCTCCCAGCATACTCCGACCGCTACCAGCCATCCAAGCTCTGCCCATGGAGCCAGTGGTGGGGCTTTGGCAGGTGCGGTAGTCGGATCCATTGCTGGAACCGCCATCATCGCTCTCCTCGCCGCTTGGCTCTTTTTCAGGTCCAGACGTAATGCTCCTCGGCGAGCGAGCAATCTTCAGAGCCCTGATCGGGAGGGCGTAGAACTGGCAAAATCACCAGCGACCGTTCGAACTCGCCCAATTCCCGCTTCGTTCGCTGTGGGAGCGGAACAAAGCTCGTCCCTCGACTTGAATCCATTCATCCCACCACCTGCCGACGATCAAACCGTGAGTTCTCGCATCCAAGCCCTTTTCGACCACATCAGCCTGCATCTGGACAACTACTACTCCCCCGAAAGTGGCGACAACACCCAGAGCCATGCGTCAGAGATTCAAGAAATGGTCCGATACGATCTTCCATTTCTGTCTGGCCCGCTGGCCGCTACCTTGGCCAACCGTCACGCCCGACGAGCGACATTGACCAAGATTCTTGCTCGTACACTGCTAGAGGCTATCCAGCCCGGTGGATCACTCTATCCGCCCTTTCAAGGTACCTACGAAGGAGACATCGCTCCCATCTTCACAGGAGCCGCTGTACCGAGTGACAATGCGGCTTTTGCGTGGCGTATGCTCACGTCGCACCTACATGCCGAGTATCTCGACACCTCTTCTCCAGCTGCACAGAGGAACATTGCGGCTCTTGTGGAAGACTTCTCGCGGACGTTCACAGCGTTCCGTAACCCACAGTTCTCTGATCCGGATGCCCACCGCCATCTGAGAAGCGTGGTGAAGGAAGCCGCTGATCTGGGTGTCTGGCTGTTCGCTCAGCCGTGCTTCTTCGAGTTTGTCTGGGGGGATGCACCGCCGCGATCCATCACAACACTACCAGCAGTGGTCAAGGTCAGCGATGAACAGGGGCAACGACTAGCTACGCCTCGGAAGATAGTGGAGGAAACGATCGCGCAGCTGTGACATTCAACACGAAAATCATAGTGCACTGTATCTAGCTATCGTAATAACACCGAACCCGCAAGTCATAGAAGCCCAATTAGCCATACCACATGCATCAACCTCTCAAACCCCCCCGTCCGTCATAACCTCCTCCTCTCGACTAACAGCAGCCGTATTCCCCTTAGACTGTCTCCAGCGTAGTAAATCCAACAGCTCCTCCTCCAGGCCCCCGTTCCCCCCTCCCACGCCTTCTTCCCTTTCCCCCTGCGTAGCAAACCCTCCCACCGCGGCACTCAGATCTTCCGGCCTTACAACCTCCCCAGCCGGCAACTCCATCACCTCCTGCTCCAGCTCCTGCTTCCGCGCACCCCCACCATCCGGCCCGTACACCCCGCGCAACCGCTCAAACACCACCATCAAACTCTGATGACACATAAGCAGCCGACTGCGCTGCAACCGCGCCCGCCGACTATCGCGACACACCCAACGCAACTGCGTCGCGAGACCGATACTGCCCCGCCGCCGGGTCTCCTGCTCCACGCGGGCCGGCTCCACCAGCAGGGCGGCCGCGCGCACCGCATCGTCCAGATCGGCCATTGTGGCTTGGATCCAGCGCGTCTCGGTGGCATCCAACCACGCCGCCTTGAGGTGGTAGAGGCGCTGCACCTCGCGGAGTTGTGTGCGCGCGTGGTGGATGGTCTTGAGGAGGTCGGCGGTTTCTTCCTGGGCGGAGGTGAAGAGGGCTCGCGGGCGTGCAGGTGGTGGGTTTTGCTGTGAAGGGGGCTGTGAGGGTGTTGCTGCTGGTGCTGGCTGATTGGTTGAGGATTGGGATTTATTGAGGGAGAGGAAGGAGGACACGCGCGAGGAGGGGGTTGGTGTTGAATGTTCTCGGGTGTTGTCATTTGCCTCCATGGTGAAGTTTCAGTGAAGATGGACAAACTACTGGGGATGCGATAGACGTATTGTCTTTGAGTGGAATAAGCTCTTTGGGTACCTGTCGCGGGTGCCTTCGGCCGGTTCTTAGCAACTTCGCGTAACAAGCGATGGCTCTAGAGCTATTACTCTCGTAGCCTTCACAGCGGGCATACGGACAATAGCCTAGTCTGACGCTTGCAGGGCACGACTCTACCAAAGGACCGTTCATTTTCCTAAGACGGAAAGGTATGGGATGAGTGGATAAGGCTATGCAACGTGGGACTTGGATTGAGCTCCATCGTTTGTCGACTCAAATTAGGGCTGGGGTGGTGATGGTGCGACACGAACCAATCAGAGGCTCTAGGCATAACCTCTAGTGCTGATGCTGTGCTGCGCGTTGACTGCGCCGCAATTTCTTATCCCTGTTAAATACTCCGTACTCTTTCTAGCTTCTGACTAGCCCAGCTTAGCTTCTCCGCATAGCACGTCTGTTACTTAGCGCACGAGAACGAATCAGGTGGGTGTTGGGGTTATCAGTCATTCGTGGTAGCACTCTCCTGGTCCTCGACCTGATTAGGGCAAACGCGATCAATCTCGGCTCTCCCATGCAATTTAAAGATAAGATATCCTCCTAGCCTTTGCTGTCGGTATAAATACCTTGACTGTCTTAGTCGAGATTAGGCAAAAGGACTTGTGCTTCTTGGAGAGAATGGGGCTGAAGGCGTCGGGAAACGGATGATCTATTGAGTCTCCTGTTCACATTAGTTAGTGGACGCTCCCATATAGGCATGCGCATCACTAACACCAGCATGAATTCGATATCCTTTACTACAAGTATGCTCACATATCACCTAGAAATATAAGGTTTGTCCGTGTGCTCCGAAATGGAACATAGGAACCAATCCATATAGTTTGATACAGTCAAAACCACAGATTTCGAATCTCAAACTGTGAATAAGCCTAGAGCATTGCGTCTAGTGGCCCGATTTGTTGCACAAGATGAGGATGGAGCAGACAGTCCATTTATCAACCATTTTCCGGACCCTTCATGGTAATCCGAGGGTAGGAGAAAAATTCCGACCGTCTGGTGAGGCTTAAGCAACGTTCGGGTGGAGGTCTATATCAATGCATAAAGAGGCTCCTTCCCGTTGTATAGCCCAGCCTTATTCGCTCCAATACTGGAACCTTCCAGGATCTACACGATGGTTCTTGTTGTTGCTTCTTGCCCATTCTGACTCATTCTGAGGTCATATAACTCGAGAACTTCCTTCAGCATGAAGTAATATCCTTACCATCCTCACCAAGCCCACCATCCTCACCATCCCCACCATCAAGCCCCAGCCAATCTAGACCTCTCTCGACCACTCAGACAATCACCTACCCCACCTCCATCATGGCGTTGAAGGCAATTGTATTCCTCTCGCGCAGCGCCAAAGTCACCCCGCAAGAGTTCAAAGACTACTACGAAAACCACCATATGCCTCTTGCCAAGGAGATCGCCGGCAGCGCCTTCCCCACCCTCCACCAGCGCTGGTATCTCGTCCGGAACCCCCAGGATCCCGCCTCCACCGATCCATCGAATGCCAATTACCTTGCCAAGGTGCATGCGGGTCAAGCAGACGATTTTGCGTGGGACGTGTGCGTTGAGATGATCTTTGAAGATATGCAGCACTGGGGCGCATTTCAAGCTCGATTGGCTGAACAGGGGAACCGGATTGCCGAGGATGAGAAGAAGTTCATGGATCGCAGCAAGGTCTATGTGGCTGAGATTGAAGGGCCATTTGTGTTGACGCCTTGAGGGTTATAACTGACGATGGTGGATAATAGGGCGGGGTGAATGAATCTTTTGTTCAAGTGGTGATTGGGCTGCATCAATCTAGTCTTGTGCAAGCTTTGCCCTACCTCTCATTCTTCACTATGGAGGGGTGCTTTTTTTTCCCCTTTGTCTTTTTCGCTTGACGCGATACTTGGGAAGTTATTGATATTGTTATTTGCTCTATGCTTCATAAATTGAAATTCATTGGAGACGGTCACAAAGATATTGTAGATGACTGCTAGGTAGCTGCGGGAACGAAAAGGTTATACCTTGCCTCGGTAAAGCATGTCAGGCTGGTTCCAGAACCGGGATAACGTCAGATAACGCCAGATCAATGAATGCTAATTCAAATGGTGGAGTCGGGTCCACAGACCAAGACGGCGATAAGCCAATCTACTGGAGATACTTGAGCTGCATCTGCGACGGAAGTAATATTCAGTTCCGTTAAGGTTAATTGAGCTGTCACCTTTATAAACCCTATCTCATGAGAGAGCTCGTTGTATTCCCACCACCGGCTTCTGATGCGGCTTTGCTCGGACTTGGGGCGATCGGAAACCAGATCTCAATTACTCGATTTCGAATAGATCCCTTCGAAGGAGAGGCCTCCTTCTCTAGTCGACGAGCTGCATGCGGTTAATGACTCCGTAAAACCCTCAACCATGGCTCGTGTCGGAATCTGGAACTTTAAGAAGTGATGGTGTCAGTGGCAACGGTCACCTTGCCCTACCCCTTCATCTTTTTATCCCCCACAGGATCCTGTGGGGACAGCTGAAATTTTGACATCTGTCATTCCTTTGCATACTTACTTTGCATGTTAATCATGTCAATTCAGCGACCGATGCTGCAAGCTCGCACTCTGCGTTCTAGTCGTGCCTTCGAGCAACGATGAATGTAACGGGACCGGTGCTACCCCCACCGGGCGAAACAGTGAATCCTGATCCTCGGCCATGGCTTTTCACAGCAAACTGCATCGCGATCGCCGTGGGCCTTGCGCTGTGCACGGCCTTTCTCGCGATTCGGATATACACCAAGGCTCGGATTCTGCGGACGTTCTGGTGGGATGATGGTGTGTACTTAATCACTTTTCTGTCAACGGCTGCAATGAGACTGACTCATAGCCCGCACAGTATTCATTCTTCTGGCTTGGGTAAGCACACACAGTTGGAGTATACAATGGAAGGAACAAAGCCTTTAATCACCAGAGCAATAGGTCTTTTCCGTCAGCACTCAGGCGGTCATTCTATGTACGGACATAACGCTTCACCAATTTCAACCACCCATCTAACCGACTGCCTTCAGATGGCTCCCTCGATGCAGGATTTGCAATAGACATCTGGGACCTATCGGTCTCAGAACTCGTCACCTATCGAAAGGTATTTGACAATACATACGCTTGCTAGCATCCGCAACTGGGATTAATAAAAACACGTATCACATTAGACCATTCTTGCCATGGCAGTGATCCACATTGAAGCCCTCGCATTCGCCAAATTCGCCGTCCTGATGCTCTACTACCGTGTCCTCAAGCTCATTACACCGTGGCGGTACACCCTCTGGGCGGTGGGTAGTAGCATCGGACTCTACAGTACCATCCTTGTTTTCATGCTGATCTTCGCCTGCGTGCCAATCGAGGATGGCTGGTCCCTCACCCGCCCCAGTGCCTGTCGACGGCGATCGGGCCTCTATCTGGCCACCGCCATCGCCAACACGGCCAGCGACAGCATCTTGCTGCTCATTCCGATGGTCTTTATCTGGGCCTTGAACTTGCCTTTCATGCAGAAGATCGGGTTATTCTGCTTGCTGGGTCTGGGATGTCTGTATGTGATTTCTTGTTGTATAGTCAGGTTCCCAGTATCGTGGATGATTAGCTGACCGGTTGGGATGCCCTTTGGGCATTGTGTTGCACAGTACGGTCGTCACCAGTATCGTTCGCCTGGTCACTCTCATTCCTCTCCTCAATTCGAATAACCAACCCCATAATATCGGCCTTGTGTGTCTCTTCATGTAGGTGCCTCCAATCGCGTAATCTAGCATTCTCTTCCTTGATCCCCACTTTCTCATTCCCTTTCTTTTCAATTTCCAAGATTCCCGGCACTGACAAACGATAATACATCCACAGAGTGCTCGAAGCGAACTTCATCATCCTCTGTGGCTCTCTCCCTTTTACGCGCGCATTCCTACACCGTTACGCCCCGAAATGGTTCCCCTCGCGCAACGGGAGTCGCGGCGACCGCGATTACTTGACGGGGACTCCCCCCTCCAGCACGACCTCGCCTTCAAATATGACCTCGCCCTCAATCATTACCTCGCCAGCTGCATCAGCGCCGGAATACCGTCGCAGACCATCCTACTTCGACATCGAAGCCATTTTGAATGACATACCTCCGGCGGAATGCTCCGAATTTGCTGGTCCGCTGAGAGAGCCCTTGCCTGCGTGGAAGGGGCCGCCACGAAGCGACATGATCGATTGATTGAAGCATTTTTCTTAATGTAAAACTATGCTGCTTGATCCCTGGAATAGCTTAAAAGTCAAGTTCCAGGGGACAAATAATATATAATTTGTGGATATATGAGTCGACGAGTCTGCAATTGCAGACTTTTCAAGGCGTGTGAAATGGCCTTGAGTGATGGCTAAAGCAGCAAGGAATAGGGCAGGACAGCGGGGTAGACCTAGAGTAATTTGGCAGTCTAAACCACACATACCCTTTCTCCAGGTTCTAGGCCCTCACTACCACTTGATATCTGTATTCTAAATAGGTATAGCAGGCGCAGCAGTTTACTTCCGAAATCTAGCCAACCCAACTGCGACGACCGCACCGACCAGCCCAACAGCCAACCACGCCTTGCCCGTTCCCCCTCCCTCTCGGACACTTCCTTCAACATCAACCTCCACCGCTGCCACCGTCTTGACCGGTAAGAACTCCAACCTTGGTGCTCCCGACGCAAAGCGGACAAACAGCGCTGCCTTCCACCGATCCGGAACCACAGGCGACAGGTACCGGGCGGCGAAGCGCAGGATCCCCGTCTGCTGGGCCTCGTACCGCGTGATCGTCGCCGACAATCCCAGGACCGTCGTCGCCCGCGGACGGTGGTTCCGGTCAAACTCCGCAAACAGCGCCGCGAGCTGGACGATCGTCGGGGCCGCACCCGAGGAGGAGTCCCGCAGTAATGCGACTAGGGCGTTGGTGAGATGTGCGACACCTTCGAGGGCGAGATTGCCGCCGAAGCCCGCATTGGGGGTAACCTTGTGCGCCGCGTCGCCGAGCAGCAGGACACGACCGTAGCTCCACTGCGAGACGATGCCTTCTTCCAGTGAAACCAGAGACCCCTTCACGCGGGCGGTCCACAGATCCCGGATGGTGTAGCCCGGTCCCGGGGCGACGTGGCCGTGTTCGTGAGCCAAGGCGTCCGCGTCCGCGTCGGTGTACCGCGGACAGTGGGGCGTTCGCGTGATGGGTGTTCTGATGAAGAGGAACCAGAAGACGAGGCCTGGGACGCCCGTGGCGGCTAATGCGGAGTGATCCTGGTGGTAGACGTTGTGGACGGTCCCGTTGGGGAGGAAAGGGGTTGCCGGGTCGTTGCGCGAGACCGCGAAGAGGCACTTATATTCACTTGTGAATGCTACATTGCACCATCGGGAACGGTTAGTGTATGAGATGCACGGAGGGAGGAGGAAAGGCAATGATGACGCACATTGCTCAATGCCTTCAGCGAGGGTGGTATATGTTAAACGGATCCTATCGGCCATGAGCTGCCGGACGCGGCTATGGACCCCATCGGCTCCAATCAGGATACTCCCCTGGAACGTCTGGCCATCGACTGTCGTCACGATAATTCCATCCGGGGTCTCTTCGTACGCAACGACGGAGCTCTGGCTGTGCAGCTTCCTGGGATCTGCAATGTGGTTGTGGAGAATCCGCAGCATCTCGCTGCGCTCCATGAACATAGTCGGATATTTCAAGCTGGGAGAGAGAAAGAGAGTGTCAATCCACGAAAGCTGCGTCGCTGCGCTCGGTCTAAGTATCCAGAGACCGTAAACTCACTAGTGTTGAAGGTACTGCAGAGCAATAGATGTCTCCATGCAGTACCCGGTCTCGTCGAAGTGATACCGCTCCCGCAACGGGACCACGACTTTCTCAATGTCAGACCAAATACCCAATTGATCCATCAACTGATTGGATTGCGGGTAAAAGCCGATGGAGGCGCCTAGCTGAGGGGCGAAGTCCTCTTTTTCGAAGAGCTCGTAGTCGATCCCGGCGCGCTCCAGACTGATGGCCAGGGTCAGGCCTACAAGGCTGCCGCCGGCGATCAGGACCTTGAAGTCTCCCGTCATGTTCGCGTAGGGGGCAGATTTGATTGCGTTGACTCCGGCGGGCGAGGAAAGATACTTTTGTCCTTTATCAGGGGCTTTCAGGGTCCTTCAGGGTCTTCCATCTTCCCCGCACTGGTATTTAATGACTCGAGCTTGCACGCTAATCTCTAGTGCATGTTTCACTACCCAACCACCGGTCAAACCTGGCGGCCCACTTTACTTGACAGGCTGTTTATGGTGGTGTGAATCAATGGTCACATGACACAACTGACTCGAATCACCACCAAGGGCAAGATACATCAGAGACACAGGCCTACATCTAATATTCAAGATTTGCGGTGTATACGGTTGAGAAACTCATAGCCATAAGTCTATCCAAATTCCGGTGTAAGGACAGTGTATTGTTTGTGCTTCGATGTAACATATAAGCAAAAGGCCACCGACTGCGAAAGCAATAAGTCACTGTACACCGTGATGGCCCGTATGCTGAAACCGGACCATGTAAATCAACCCAGGGTTGTAAGCGGCAGTCAGGTACTGTGGGTATGTGGTTGGTATTATTTGCAACAGGCGCCCAGACACTGTTATCGCCTCTTCGACATACGTCGAGCCGCCGGTGTCCCTGACTAATGAACGAAGACGTGCTATGATGTTGCAAGGCGTGCCGATTTCTTTCACTAGACTCTAAATGATGCTTCACTCACAATGCACCCTGATCAACTCTTGGAGACAATGCGGCTGTCCTGTGCTGCGGTAGAGGCTGTCAAGCAAGATGCGTAAGGCCTGCAACCAGCGGAAAGGGTTGGGGGTCCTTCCATCAACTTGATACATTGCTGCACCGCCTTTACTGATCTCTCAAGATCATCGTCGCATTTGTACTCGGGGCTGGGCTCCCTGCTCCCAAGGATAAATCATTCATGACATTTGACAGATTAGGGCGATAAGCCGATCTTTCGTCCTTTCTCGCCGGTGACAACATGTTGAGAGATTCTTCGAGATAATCCAGGTTCCATTCCGTAGTGGAGGGTCATCAGATCGAATGCCGTTTCAATCAGCACGATTTCATGACTAGGTGTCCTCTCGGGAACAATCGTCAGAATTTAAACAGAGATATCGAGGGGTTTCTTGAGACCTCCTCGTTCAGTGTCAAATCATATTGACTTGAGACCAAGCCTCTGGGGGCTGTCAGATGCCCCACGAGGGCCTGGGAATACATTGGCGTCGCATCGACCACCTTCTCAAGCTGGCGGATTGCGGCATCGCGGCATCGAGGGATTCCAAATCCGTGACAATTCCGAGTTCTCTCATGATCTCCCCTTGAAAATCGCCAGACATGAGGGGGAGTTGCTCGTACTGGACGATTCTGACACAGAGTGGCTTCAGGACTCGAGCAGTGACCATCCACAAAGTAAAATCCAGCAGATCTTGATTTAGCCCGCACGGACTGCAGACCTCTCCAAGTATAAGCACGTGATCTCATCTCACACGCTTGCAAAAAGCAAGAAGCAAGAAGCAATGTGCTGAAGAAGCAGGGAGTTGTCCACGCGTTGAGGTCATAACCAAATTGGCTATGACTGAGCATTCGATCTAAAATCTGGCACCAACAGGTCCTTTCCGCCTCATTCTTGCCCCCATCCAAACCGGTTCTCAGACCGTAGGTGATCACGTGATACTGATCTTGCCATCAGAAAGCATATCGAATACGTAGACTTCACGCCTCCAAAAGTGGTAGTTACACCTTCGAATGAAGAAAAGAAGGACAAATGACTTTGATAAAGATATGTCACCCGTCCAGCAAAAAGAAGCCATGTCTTGTGACTCAAAATATAGGGCACATGGACCATTTCCAAAAGGAAAACAAGGCCTGGATGTCAATCGAGCAACATTTAGCCACTCAATCCATGGCCCGTGATGCAATGGAGACGTATGGCTCAGCCCAGGCTCTCGACGACATGACAAACTCTCTTTCTAGTGTCTGATATAATGACATGGTGCCTCTCTTGACACAACATCGCTTCGCCACCCCTCCTTCAGAACTCTCACAACCACATACAATCGAATTCGGATATCTGTTTCAGAACGACTGGGTCTACATTTCTCACACTAACCGGACCGGCCTGTACATTCTTCCATGGACAAAAGACGTTCGTCCTTCGTCCACGACCCTCTCCCCCTTGTGACCGATCGACAACCACGGTCCAACATGGCGGATCCTGGAGATGACATCCTGGACCCTATGATGGATGATGACACCAAAGAGAACAATATCAACAAAAGCCCCGATGACATGGGCCCTCAAAGTTCCATCGGGCCGGAAAGCAAGTCGACAGCCCCTGATGCTAGAGCAGAATACGATGCCCATCACGGCATGAACCGACAGCTGTTAGACACGAGCGCTGGATTCCCGGCCCAGATGTGCGACGCAGGTCCCATTGATAGTCTCGGAGACACTACTGTGCGCAATTTCTCCAGCGAGGATGAGATAAACGAAACACTCTATGGCAGGGATGGGTCGATGTAGAGGATTTTCCTGTACTGTTCTGGAAAAGTGCTTTCACAATATCTAAAAGTCTCCGTCACAGAATATTATACCATGCTGCTCAGAGGGAAATGCCAAGTACTGCCCTTGGAGAGCTCAGATTCCAGTGCCGCATGCCGAGAGCTCTATGCTCTTAAGCGCGGAGTAGACGGGCGATTCAATCAGCCTAATCCGGGGGTGCAATACGAATCCGAAATCAAGCGATGTTAGCACAACAATGACTCCCTACATCATCAAATGAAGGCTGTCCCATTGCAAGCTTCCAGTTTAGGTATCTTAGTTGATGGGTCGGGGATGTGCGCTGATGCCTCAGGCACTGCAGCTTCGCGCTCAGGCAATCCAAGAATACACCGATCTTCTGATAGCAAATGACAGAGGGCTCACGCCCCCTTGTTGAACGTTATGACTGAAAACTTTCCCAATTTCCGTGGAGTCTCATCAACATTTTCAGAGCAAAGGCAGCACCTGGTCCGAGGACCCCTTCTTCCCCAGATTCTGGGTATTATGATAATATAACCTGGTTCGAGGTGTAGAAAGAGACAGTGGCTCACGAGAAGAGAATATACAGTACAGTCCAAACCCTTACGTGTCCTAGCCATGGCTGGAACAGGCTAGCAGAAACATCAGAGCCCCAAATGACTTGGCCGGGACTCAATTCCGATAGTGGAGAGCTTGGCGCATCCTCACGCACACCCAATTCAATCCAGTGTATCAGAATTTGACTGCAGTGCTGCTGAGTCATCATCGGTTATGCAGACATGCTCGGTATAAAGCAGGACCGACGTCATTTATGCGGCGAATTGCTAAGCGCGATGACCTCATGACAAATCAAGAGTGGAACCCTATCGAAGAGCTCCAGCTTCACTTTTTTCAACCTCGGCATTTTGCAGTCTAATATTTGACTGCACTTACCCCTGTCATCCTATCATCCTGTCAGCACTTTAATCCTTCTCGTCTCCAATCATTCAACTATTCCAATACACCTACCCACACACACAAATAAAAAATGAGCCTCCCAACCACCTACAAAGCGGCCGTGGTCCCCGCCCCGCACGCCCAGCACACCATCGAGGACCGCTCCCTGCCAGCCCTCGAGGCCAACCAGGTGGCCATCAAGATCACCGCCACGGCCGTGAACCCAGTGGACTGGAAGATCCGGGACTACAACGTGTTTCTGAAGTCGTACCCGGCGGTGCTGGGCTCCGACGCCGCGGGCGAGATCGTGGCGGTGGGCAGCAACGTCTCGAGCCACACCGTCGGCGACCGCGTCTTTTTCCAGGGCATCATCGGCAACTACCCGGCCTCGACCTTCCAGCAGTACTGCGTGATGCCCGCCGAGCTGGTCTCCCACACGCCCCGCAACATCTCCGACGACCAGGCCGCGGGCATCAGTCTGGCGTCGCTGGCCGTCGTCACGGGCTTCTACGACAAGACGGGCCACGCGATCGGCCCCGCGCCCTGGGCCGAGGGCGGCGCCGAGGCCGGCAAGGGCAAGGCGATCGCCATCCTGGGCGGCTCCTCCAGCGTCGGCCAGTATGCGATCCAGTTCGCGCGGCTGTCCGGCTTCGAGCGCATCATCACCAACGCCGGCGCGGCGCATCAGGAGTTCTTGAAGGGGCTGGGCGCGCATGTCGTGCTCGACCGGCAGAGCGCGACCGCCCAGGACTTTGTGGCCGCGGCGGGTGAGGGCGTCAAGCTGAGCTATGTGTATGATGCCATCTCCATCAAGGAGACGCAGAAGCTGGGTGTCGAGATCGCCCAGGCCACCCAGGGCGCGGCGCAGGCCGTCGTGACCGTGCAGTTGGTTGACCAGGAGGCGGCCGCGCTGGGTGAGTCCAAGGAGCCCAAGGTGGCGGTCAAGCAGATTCTCGGGCTGGGTAGCTCCCCCGCCCTGCGGCATGTGAGTGAGCCCATGGTCAAGGCTCTCGGTGGTGAGGACGGATGGATTGCCAAGGGGCTGTTTGTGCCAAATCGCGTGCGTCTGATCCCCGGTGGCATTGGCGCGGTTGAGGAGGCGTTGAAGACGAACAAGGAGGGTGTGTCGGGTGAGAAGGTCGTTTTCCGTCCCAATGATGCTTAGATGGGTGTCGTTGTTGTTTAAGCAAGATGTATGATCGCTATAAATGTATAATAATAGATCCCTTCCGAACATGATCACATAAGCTTCGAGAGGCAACGTTTCGGGCACAATATCGCAGCCGAAGGGGTGCGCAGCCCAAGGCGACTCGTCCATTGCAGCAATCCAGCAAGAAAGGTTTCAAGCTCATCGATGGGTGGTCGCCTGATCATGTTCATCCTCGCGGAGGGAAGCCCTTGGTTCAGGGTATAGACCCAGTGGTAGAGAAACAGCCTGAATCAGTGATGAAAATCAAATTGGACAGACTCATGATACATGCTGTGCATGATAAGTGAAATCACTTCTCCAATAGTCCCGAAGAGTGTCACAATCTCATCAAGATGAGCACACACCCCCTGACGCCTCGGGCACAAGGGATAGGGCTAGACCGGGCGGTGGCACAGGCCGCCGCCACTGACGTGGGATCATGCACACCACATGCTCCCTTCGCCCCCCCATTCACGCGGCCAAAAATGCTTGTGTGGCTGGCTGATGCGCTTCGTTTTGCTCTTATATATCCCTCCCAGCAGTGATCGACTTCCAATCTACACAAATCATGCCCCCCACCCCGAAACGCGAACCATCATGGACCCCAACAACCCCACCGTAACTGTTGCCTCCCTTTCCTCGATCGTCCACACCACCCTGTTAGCATATCACTGCGTCACCGAGGCACTAATCACAGGGGACACGACTGTAGGCCTGAAGGCCCGCTTCCGGGTGGAGCTGTTGCGGTTACGCCTGTGGGGCCGAACCCGCGGGTTCGGTCTACGGTCTTCCCCACCCTTGCCCTCCAACAACGACATATTCGCTATCCCCGAAGTCCGCCGCCTGGCATTTGATCTGCTCGGAAAGACGCTGCTGATGCTATACAGGCATCTACAGATCCGCAAGAAGCCTCCGCCCGTGCGCGAGCAGACGCTGTCGCGGTTCGAGAATGGGTATTCCGCACTCCCCTACGCTCGAGTCCTAGAAGCGAAATGTGCGCTTGATCAGAGGCTCCTCGATCCGGTGCAGCGGGCGAAAGTTGTGAAGCAGATTCGCAAGGTAATGGACGATAAGGCGCCCTTGCCGGGGACTTTGGTCGAGCGCACAACGATCCGCGAGTTTCTGACCGACCTGGTGACGTTGAATACTGGGCTGGAGCGGCTGTTACCGGCCGACGAAGCGGACTTCTTGGCGAGGGGTCTTGCGGGCGAGATCCTTGCCTCGGACCCTAGGTTGATGGTTACGGATGAGAGTTCCTTCGGGGTACGGAATAGTCTGGCTGCGGAGATGATTCGGCTGCGCCAACTGAACGACCTTGGGATCCATGATCTAGGAGGGAGTGCAAGAACGCCAGCATCCGCGGGACACAAGGTCGAAGAGGATGAAGCTCACGACTTGGCTCATCCTCAGGCTGAGGAGGTACTGTCGACCTTTGAAATCCCAGTGTCCTGTCTCCAAGGCTTCACGGAACCACGCCTTTTGGACATTGAAGCACATGATTCTACCTCGTCGCATGGAAAGGTACTGAATGCTCCACCCGTGCGATCTGTATATGTCTACACCCCTGAGGGCTCCCAGGAGCAAGAGGGCCATGTCTTTGTGGAATGGCAGTCGCAGCTGGCTACGACTGGATCTAGCTACCCCCCAACTCTAGACCAGTTCCTTGCACAGCGTCGACAACACAAGGTTGAGATTCTTCGTGAGACCTCGGTTGCCGACAGCGAGTTCCGTGTCCTGGAATGCAGGGGGTACACACTTGCCACTGGGCGACTACCAAATGGGGACTCCCATCCGATGATAGGCTTCGTGTACCAGCCGCCTCTCCTTACGACCGCTCCGATCAGTCTGCATGATATACTGACCACCACCTATCACTCCCAAACGCCCGCAGTGCCGGACCTTGGAGACCGTCTCCGCCTGGCCCAGAGGCTCGCGCTGAGTTTGTACCAGCTGCACTGCGCCGGATGGATTCACGGAAGGATCTCCAGCCACAGTATCCTGTTCTTCTCTGATACGGAGAGTGCAATATATGACATCACTGAGCCATACATCTGTGGCTGGCAGGATGTCCATCCTACGCAAGGTATGTGTGATGCTGCTGGAGTTACGGACAGTTTCTTGCGAGAGCCAAGCGCTATTGGTCTCGGGGATATGGCAATGTATGCCCATCCCGATTGTGTAGCCTACGGGGAAGCGGAGCCCGGGAACCAAGAGACCCACGACAATTACGGATTGGGTGTGATCCTGATGGAAATTGCTCTCTGGGAACCAATTGTCGCCTTGGCGCATCCGGTTTACCGGGAAGTAATGCAGTCATCCCAGCAATATGCTGGCATCAACCATCGGAGGTGGTCCAATATGTTGATTGAGGTAGCTGATCGCAAGATTGGGGCAAGGATGGGCGCCAGGTATCGGGCTGCTGCAATGGCTTGTTTGTGTGGCGTGCATTCGGCTGACCTGGGTGAAAGCCTGGAGGCCGGCGTTGAGAGACCATTCTTCTGGAAGGTGGTCAGAGAGTTAAGGTAGATATTGCGCTGCGACGGCTAGAGATGAGCGCGCCCGGTCGGCTTTAGTTTCCTGAAGTAGTCTCGGCTAATAAGGCTCGCCTTGCCCACATAAAATTGCCGATTGGTAGCAACTGAGACCCGGTCTTACTCTTATCGCTATTATCCAAATAACCTGGTATGGGAATATCACTCGCGGCAGTCCGTCCGAAGTTCAATACCATTATTCATTCTGCATGGTAAGCGAAATAGTGTATTGGGACTTGATTCCCGTCTCGCGAATAACGCGGTTATCACCCTCACTTGAGGTTGCGATCGGTAATACCTTCGTAGTTGGACGAACCCCCGCGAAGAAACGGGTGGGTGCTGTAAAGAACGTCTGAGTTTTCTAGAAAATTTGAGTTGTTGAAGTATGTTGTCACACCGTCATCTGCAAATAGCTCAGGGAAGGATGAATGCGCTAGTGGTTCTTGCAGTGGATCAAAAACAGAGGGGTCGGACAACTGAGCCCCTCGGTCGAAAAGTGCATCATTCGTTCGAGATTCAAGTACGTCGTTCGGCGTGTTACGATCCTGACACCATAAATGAGCTAAAGAGGTCCCATATTTGTAGGCAATATGGTTTGGTCCTGTGGCTGCCATCTGTAGCATCGTGATGAATTCCTTGACAAGCATCGTGCAATCGTGGCTCTCGTCCGCTGTCAAGGCACCAACAGACAAGGCCTTAAACAGGAAGACCGATGCATGAATTTGATATCTTGATATAGTCAGCCACTCTTTCCATGTTCTTAGATGCCTAACTGGCAAGACAACCTACAAGTAGTATCGCACGGGAAGGAATCTCAAATGCTCTGTCGGATTCAAATGGTTCATTAGGCACTTCAAGACATCCCTCGCAGCCTCGATGGCAATGTAAATATGCCGGCCATCTGGGCTAGCCATCACACTGAACGGGAAATAGGCCCCAGGCTTTCCGCGTTCCGATGCAGGGCCTTCCTTCGAGTCTCGGTAGAGGACTGCTTGGAATGCGAAAGCGTTGACATAGAGGCGGAGATACTCAGACTGCACCGTAAGCAAGCAGTGCAAATGGCTTGGTAGCCGGACATTTCTCCAGGTGCCTTTCCACATATCCAAGGCTTTTGAGCTGTCATCAAGGTACTTGGTATAGTCTCCCACCAGCATCAGCTGCATGGTACGTGACGTTGAAGCGAAGAGTATATCATGTACGTTTCCAAACAGAGTTGTTAACTCCACTTGAGCCTGTATAAACGAAGCATAGTCAATGCCGCTTGCTTCCTGCGGTTGCAAAGATGGGTAATCGTGGACCGTGAACCGGGTGGATAGGCCTGGACCGCGACACCAAAACGCCTGACCCATTTGGATCGATATCTGGCGATCGGCAAGATATGTATCTGTGGCAACGTCAGATTCTTGCAGTGAGAATACGTTTGAGGTTTCTACATATCCAAGCCAACCGTTTGCGACCACAGTTTAGGTCGGACTCGATTTTGACCTCTCCCCGAAACGAGTACGTCTCCAGATGCAGGAGGTATGCCTGCCTGACTGCCAGCCCGACAAGGCTCCACGCCATACTGTTATCCTCTGTTCTCTCGGACTTCAGATCGCTATTCTCGTCCAGAGCTACCCTTGGCATTCATTCAGCCAGCAATAAAAGACCTTCCACAGTGCCAACGCAACGAACAGCGCCGGCTCCCAGCACGACCTGCATGATGAGTCTCTCCGTGTATCTCCAAATGTCGTCATGAAGTCCGGCTAGGTCTGGCTGTTCTTGGGTGGCTATGGATATCACTGCCGCCAGCAAGAAAGGTTCATCAACCATGACTCAAGGAAGCGCTTGACAGATAGCAGATGTCTGGGGACAATGGGTACGAAAGAGTGGTAGGTGTCACAGTAGCTGTGACGACAAAGGTCTGTTAGCATTCTTGAAGGATTCTATAGTCAAGACAGACAAACTATTGAAGCAGCGACTTGAGCACCTGCTCGTCCACAATCCCCTCTTCGACGATATTCGGCTGTCTTAAACTCCGATGTCTAAATCTTCCACCACATGACGAGCGACTAATGTCTCCCTCCATGCCATCTATCTCGCCACGTGTCGAGTTCATCCCAACTGGCGCAACCGGCTATTCGTTGGCTGCAGTCTGTGCGAGGATCTGGAGTGCTGGGGTTCTGAATTCCACCATTTGGATTTATCCCTGTTGCATTTATAGAGGCTGGGCCAAGTGGGTCGCTCACAGGTGCCTCTCCTTCGAGTCCGCATAATCGCGTGTCCTGGACTTCGGTTCGCTGCTGTGCTTGTCGTGAACGCCGAAAGCGAGAGTAGTCACCACCTCTTCTCGACTTTGCGATCACACATCGATGACCATCAGAGGTGCATTTGGAGCAGGGGAGGTAGCCACGGTCATGGCTGTATGTCCTTCACCATGTTAGACTGATTGGCCCGAGAGACAATGAAGTGAGTGGGTCAGCATACAGGTCGCATTTAATCTTTCGCTGTCGACAGCGGACACATGCACGATAGAGTCTAGCTCCAGTACTTTTGGTCATGTTCAGCAGGGGATGTGTTATGAGGAAGGAAAGGAGAAGAAGAGGAAGAAGAGGAAGAGGAAAGAGACAGAGAAGACTCAGAGAGTGGAAGGGCGGCACTAGACGGCAATAGACGGCTGTAGTTCCTCCTCTTCTTCCCCTCCTCATCTTTGCTACTTTCCTTACAATCCCTCGTCCACTATAAAGTCTATCAACTTACAAACTCACGAGACATGGAGCCATTGACTTGCCTCATACTTGTCAATATATCTTGGGTAGCATTTGAACAAAATGGCAACAACTCTGACCGAGTCCTTCATTCATGTACCTCCAACCGCCGAGGAACAGAACCAAATCCCGCCCAACGATGTCTATGGCAAATACTATCCCACCAACCCCCAGAACCTCAATCTTAAGTCCAATTTTGGGCCCATGATCCCTGAGCAGATTGGATACCTGCAACCAACAGCGATAGACACTCCCGTTGAGATCATGCGCGAGCGTTTCCTACGCAACGGATACGTGTTTGTGAGCCAGTCTCCAATCCAGCCTAATTCACGGCGTTCCACAGGCCACAACTAACACCAGCAACCTCGACAGGTCAAGGGCCTCCTCCCCAAAGACAGAGTTCTAGACTGCCGTCGCCGCTACTTCTCCCACATGGCCCCCTCCGGCCTCCTCAAGGACGGCTCAGACCCCGTGGAGGGCATCTTCAGCGGGAAGGACACCCGCAAGTTCCTTCCTCCAGGAAACCTCCGTCGGCTCTTCGGCCTCCAGAACGATGCAGAATCCAACAAATACCTAGAGCTAATGGTCAGCGCCCACGAGGCATCCTTCTACCTCGACTTCTGCGCGACCGAGGAACTTCGCGCCTTCATCCGGAAGTTCACCGGCTGGCAGGATATCACCATGCTGCAGCGCACGATGCTCCGGGCCTTTGTGCCCGACAGCGAGCTGACTCCCGTACACTTTGATCAGATGTACCTTCGCGCTGGTCCGCCCACTAGTCTGACGGCGTGGGTGCCGATCGGGGATGCCTCGCTGGAGGCAGGCGGGCTGATGTACTTGGAGAAGTCGACGGATATTGGGCGCAGGACGGAGGAGGATTTCCGTCGCAATGCGGGGAATTTGACCGATGAGGAGCGTGTGTCGGCGTTCAATAAAAACATGAACGATGGCGGGTTTCTGAGTCGCGATACGGTCGCCTACGGCAAGGGGGAGGATCGGAAGTGGTTGATCACGGAGTATGAGGCTGGGGATGTCATCTTTCATGACCCATTTCTAGTGCACGCGAGTTGCAAGAATGAGGATCCAGAGCGAAAGATTCGGTTGGCCACGGATTTGAGGTTCGTGGATGCGAATCAAGCGTACGATCAGGTGGGTTCTCTTTCTTTCTGTCACGTGCAATGGCTTCGCTAATGGTGAGCAAGCGGTGGATGAAAGTTTGGAGACCACTCGATGGTTTGTGATCTGGCTGTCAAGATCTTATAAATGTAGAGTCTGAAACTGGGGGCATGAAGCAGTGTATAACTTTTGGATTAATTACTAATTACAAGTGGCGCACGTTCACGCCCCATGGAGGCCACAAGTCCGCTCACGCATCAATTCTCTCCTCTTCTTGTCGGTTTCAGCATCCCATGCAATGAACTCGTGTAGTCCTGATCCAGCAGGAACCATAGGGAGAACGGGCACTTTTTTGTCGGTCACAATTTCCAGCAGAGCAGGACCATCCGTGTTGATCAGCCATTTCAGTGCATCAGACACTTCCTCCGGTTTGGTAGCACGCCGTTGCTGGACGTGCATTGCCTTGGCCAGTTTCATGAAATTTGGATTTCTGATATGCGTGTGGGCATATCTATCTTCATAGAACAGGTTCTGCCACTGAGTCACCATGCCTTGTTCCTCGTTGTTGAGCACAATCACCTTCACCTCAATATTGAATTGCGCAGCTGTACTCAATTCAGTCAGAGTCATTCCGAACGAGGCATCGCCATCGATGTCAATGACCAATGCATCGGGCTTCGCCACCTTGGCTCCGATAGCAGCGGGCAAGCCGAAGCCCATCGTGCCCAATCCGCCCGAGGTGATCATCGTGCGCGGATACCGCCAGCGAAACTGCTGTGCCGTCCACATTTGATGTTGCCCGATGCCCGTGGTGATGATGGTTTCCTGCTTGCGATCGGCGGTCAACCTACTGAGTTCTTCGATCATTGCTTGAGGTTGGATTAAATGCGACCGATCTGACCGATCGTACACGTTCAGCGGCCAGCGTTTCTTCCACTCTTTAATATTCCCAAACCACGACCGACGATCGGGATGGGTCATAGCCTTCTGTTTGATATGAGGAAGCACGGCCGCAAGGCTCTCGGCAACATCGCCCACCACCGCCTCGGTCGCTTGGACAACCTTGTTGATATTCTTCGGCAGGATGTCGAAATGCACGATGCCTCCGACCCCCGCCGCCGCCGCCGCTCGCGCCGCGGGCGCGAACTTCTTGATATTCATCGTAACCCGGTCGTCAAATCGAGCTCCTAGAGCGATAATTAGGTCCGCTTTCTGCATCGCCATGTTCGCATACCCGGATCCATGCATTCCCACCATATGCAAGGATTTTTCATCTAGTTCATCGAACCCACCGAGTCCCTGCAGAGTGGTTGTAACCGGAATCGAGGACTTTTCCGCAAGCTCTCTAAGCAATCGCGGAGCATCCGACGAGTTGACCACTCCTTGCCCCGCATAAATGACGGGCTTTTTGGCAGTGTTGATCAACTCAGCCACCCGAGCGATTGACTTCTGGGGCACCGTCTTGACACTGTCAACAACCGTAGGAACGAACGGCAACGCCGACGCGGTCGGGATCGCCTTCCTTAGGACCGCAGCCGTGACGTCCTTGGGAAGATCAACCAGCACGGGACCGGGTCGCCCACTCGTCGCGATCTGGAACGCCTCATTGATGCGCTGCGGCAGTTCCGAGACATGGCGCACCATGACGTTCCATTTTGTGCACGAGCGCGAGATGCCCAGCATATCCGCCTCCTGGAACCCGTCGCTGCCGATCAGCGAAGTCGCAACCTGCCCGCAGAAGACAACCATGGGCGTGCCATCACAGAGCGCGTCCTGCATCGGGGTCACAACGTTCGTGGCCCCCGGGCCGGAGGTCACCAGCACGATCCCCGGTTTTCCGGACGCTCGAGCATATCCTTCGGCCATGTGTCCGGCTCCTTGTTCGTGTTTCGGGAGGACAAAATCAACCTTTTTCGAATTGTAGATGGCGTCGAAAACGGGGAGGATGGCTCCGCCGGGGTATCCAACTGGAGTCGTCGAACGAGGTGTCAGTAATGGCCCTCAGTCAGGTGGCTTTGGGGCATATGCACATACAAATGTGTTTGACGTTGTGTCGCTGCATCATCTCGTGGAAGATCTCGCCTCCGGTCATTCCAATGAATCTATTGTGCGTGAGTGGTAAGTAAGGGCGGGAGCCGATGCAAGAGACACCCACGATTCGTCCATGTCTGGACGTGTTATACGTGCTGCTGGTAGGATCTGCCTCTCTGGTACAGCGTCGTTGTAATTCAACTGCGTCGCAGCAGAAGCTGTGCCCCGGGTAGTGGGTGTATTTCGCATCAGAATGAAGCGGCTGCCGACAGCATGTTTTGATGAAGGCCTGGAAAGGGCATTTGACGCCCGAGAGATATTTCGAATTCTATACATGGTCGAGGTCAATCTGAGGCCTGATGCTGGATGGAGTTGAGTGGAGAGAGTGGTGTAGCAAGGGAGGAAGCAGCGAATGGTGAGAACTAAAACAGCATAAGTATTTATTCAGATCTAGATTGATAGGCGGATCGCACCACAACCGCAGTCCGGGGAAGTGGCCGATGAGTCACTTACTTCTCGTTCCTGGCTAACTCTTGGCTAGATTTTATATCAAAGGCAAACAACCAGCTAGTGCAGAACGAACTGGGCATGCCCTGTCCTGAGGTCCTGCCCAGTTCTAATGAAATAGGTTTAGTGTGTGTGAGAACTGGTCATCCGGGTATGCCCGGTTTTCCAAAAGCTCTAATACATCCCATATAAATTGAACGATCGATCACCTTGCTGACTCAGATGACTCATGAGCAATGCGACATCGGCCCGTATACGGAATTGGCAGTCTGTCAAGATTGTCTAGATCTCGCTGCTGGAATCTGTATCTAGTATATGCCTTTTACAAGGTTTATTCTTTGTTGGTCGGCAACTGATGCTTGCACATACTACACTATACAGAGTCCCAGACGACATCACCTCTTCGCCTTGGGCAGAAGTCTACTGCAGCTTTCGTCACCAACAGTCCCAAAGTGATGGATGCTCTGCTACGGAGAACAATGTGATGAATACACTCTGCCAGGACGGTAGAAGGCGGTCTGAGTCACCGACCCCTGAACCACGAAGCTGTAGCACGTGACTAGCATAAGTCCGAACCCTCGTAAACTCCGTTGTTATGTATGCATGCTCCCTTGGCAGCAACATTACCTTCAACACACCAACCTCCAGTCATCGTGATTCAGCGAAGTATGCTATGGCAACACCCCCACAACTGAAGTATCATCCTCGCAAACAGAGTCTTCGTGGACTCAGAGACTCTGCAACCAACGTTCATCTTGGAAGAACCGCATGCTTGCTATGCCGACAAGCTCCAAGTGCCGGAGAGCAGTTCCTTGGTACTGCACACACCTCTTCTCTACGCCCGTTATCTGTCTTGCTCTCTTTCTCTTCCTTCTCTAATTATATAGAGTATAGACATGCATCATATCCTGCGCACTGCTCCAGACTGTCCAGACTCGTGCCAAAGTTGCTTGTACACGTCAAATCCCAAGGTTTGGTTTCACCAACGATGCTACGACATGTTGACAGACAGTTATGAGCCAGCGAAAAGCCCTATACAGCCCGAGATGATGAAGTACATGTGTGCCATGAAACCCGTCTATCAAGTCCGAAGCGATAGACGCGGGGAGATCGCGTCAGCCTTGGAGGGGTTGCGAGGAGCATCTACTAGGGGATTGACCCAGCCAGATTCCACACTGCACTTCTTCACGCGACTACCGATGGAGCTGAAGGTTGCGGTCGCGGAGTTCACAGCACCGTGCTGGTATCTGACCGTCCTGGGCGAGGGCCGTCGGTTGCTGGAGGAGTGGAGGCACCGTGCCCCTCAGCCGAAGCAGCTGCTCACGCTCCAGCACGATGTCTGGATGCGACGTATCTGCTGCCGAGGCATCACGTACGTGACCCAGCTCAGCACCGAGCCGCTGGAAGCTACGGCTGCGTCGCGTGTAGACCACCTCAAGATACCCGCCGCGATAGACAGGATTGTCTTGTCGCTAGACGCGTTTGGCTTGCGCGGGATCCAGTTTGTGGGCAAGGACTCGGTGCCAGAACCCGACGGCTCGTCGTGGTACAAGGTCCTCCGGCCGCACGCTTCTGTTGTGAGCATTAAAGTGGACTGCGATGTATGGATGCTTCCAGGTACCCCTTCCCAGTGCTGTCATCAGCGTTGATGTGTCATACCCAGGGTCTGTTCGTGCGAGACATTGCACTCGTCTCCGACGGTTCGTCCTCCGACAAGTGGTGTTGGAGCACACCCCTACCCCCCGCATTCCAGCGCTGGAACGCGCATAGCCTCCGCAAGAATCCTCGGTTGGACTACGTTGCGTTCGATGACAACGTCAAAGGTCTTCTAGCGTGTTGCACCGGCCATGGGATAATGGGTCTCCACGGATTCTCGGACACGGCGACCCGTTTCACAGAATTTCTCGATCTGATGCACTGGCGCGACAGCACGAGCGACAAAGTATGGATCTACTTCCCGTTGAACCAGCAAGAATCCATCACGGCTGCTTGGACGCGCAGGTATTGTCTTAGAGCTAGGGAGTTCGGCTTAGTGGTAAGCGCCCCATTTTTTTTTGACAACCTCGTAACGATAACTCACCCGCGCACAGCTTCAAACCTCGTTAGGAAGAACCATTACCCTCGCACCTCCAACTCCACATTTCATGGAAGACCCATTCAAATGCGTTCCGCTGGTCAAGGCGAGCGATGGCCCGATCACTGGTGTCTTTCACGACGGACTCGACCCCGCTCGCGTACACATCACCGCAGTCGGGGTTACATGCAGTGACTCAATCAATGGAGGTGGTAGTGCTCTGGATTCGCAGCCGGAGGGTCCTCGCTTGGAGCCTCCAGGAGATCCCAATGGTCGCCTCGGCCTGTCAGAGAAAAATTGGTTCATGACAAAGGCACCACTCCAGGGGCTGATTAAAGTGCAGGTCTGCAGGGATCCGGAGCGACCGCATCGTCCCATTTTTGGTCTGTTGCTTATCTACGACGACGAGCATATCGAGTCGCTCGGACAGGTGCGGTGGGAGTACGGCTTCAGCGAAGAGGTCCAGATGCCTGCATACGTCGATACGGATGCTGTTGATGGACGAAAGTGTGTCAAGGACATCCGTAGCGCCCAGAAACCCGGGATAGATTTAAGCATGGAGGGTTGGCGAGCGTTGCCCCCCACTAACACTATTGTCTGGTGGTTCTATCATGGTGGTGATGAGATCGCCATATATGATTGAAGTGAAGACTGGATTCCCCATGCAGAACGGATACTTGGACGGAATCAGAACACTCTGTATATTCCTATCAATCTGATGAACCTCACGAATTTAAGCAGACGCTACACCGCAATTTTATATCCTCAATAATCCGGTACCGCAGCCCTCATCTTTCGCACAGCTTGACTGATCAGCCGAGCCTCCGGAGAGTGCACCTCAATGTACTGGTCGGGTTCACCCAAGCCCTCGGATCCGAACAGAGCAGTCAAAGAATTATCCCTTCAACCGCACCGCCATGCTCGACCTCTGGTTCCAAATGACGTGAGCGCGTACACACATTCCCAGTCAGGGTGGAGCTCCAGACACCTCAAACAAGCATCGTACGCTCGAGCCTCCGCTCCTTCGACAGCTTGAGAGCTTGTGTCGGGTGCTTCGGCCTCGTGAATCACAAGCACTGCGAGGCTGTTCCCCTCACACATATACTCGATGGTGAATTCCACGCCCCGACGGCCACTACTGTCCTGACGACGTGGTCCCAACGACACGACCCAGTCCTTCTTTGGGAAGAAGTGCTTGCTGCACAGATGAGTCCAGAGCTTTGCTGATGCTCGCTCGTCGGATGGCTGTGTCTGGGCCAGCTCCCAGAGTTTCAGGAGAAGGTCGTCGGTGATGAGGGACATTGTCTGGTGTGTTTATGTATGGTGCGGAGGGTGTTTGGGTTGCTGTGCTTTGATTTGCTTCGCTTCTAAGCTTAAGTGCTCTCTGCTAGCACACCGATTGGAATCAAGGTTGTTTTGGGGATTCAGGGGCACAAATGATTCCTCGAGTACGTTGTAGTCCACAAGTTCTGATATGATGAAATCTGACACCTTTAAGTACTATAGGTACAGTAAACCCCGCCAGGCCCCGCCGTAGCTCCGCACTTGACTGGCCTGGCCGTGTAGAAAGCGACTCCACTCGCCACACCTTACCCGATTAGGCTTTGCTATGGCCGCATCCCACATCAGCCTCATGTTGTAGATGATCTTACAGGTACGATCGTCTCCAGATATAGCTATAGCCAGAGAGTTTAGCTTCGAGCCCTCTTGAAAAGCGGCCTCTTTTCAGCGAAGTGATTATCCCCTGGGACCAGGAAGAAGCTATATAAGACGTGTCCGCAACACAAGTCCGTCCTCTTTTTAGATTCACGCAAAGAAGTTCCCTCAACATTGAAACACACACCATGACCAAGCCTATCACTGTTTGGATGACCCGTACGTTCTCCTCTCATACTGCCCACTCACTAACCTAGAAAAGCTAACACTCAATCCCAGCTCCCGGTCCTAACCCTTGGAAGGTCAGTCACCACCAACCCCAACCCCAAAACACCATCAGGCATTAACATCTCCTCCATCTAACAGGTCGTCCTCATCCTCGAAGAACTCCAGGTCCCCTACGAGATCCAATCCTTCAAGTTCGACGACGTGAAAAACCCCCCTTTCATCAACATCAACCCGAACGGCCGCGCCCCAGGTAAGCCCACCCACCCACACCTAAGCTCTTATCTTATCACCCCCCCGCATCCTCAACCACAAACCCTAACCCACCACTGACAACAAACCCAGCCATCGTCGACCCCAATACCAACCTCACCCTCTGGGAATCCGGCGCCATCATCCAGTACCTGATCGACGTCTACGACCCCGACCACAAACTCAGCTACTCGACCCTCCCCGAGCGCCACCTCTGCAACCAATACCTCCATTTCCAGATGAGCGGGCAGGGGCCGTACTTCGGCCAGGCGGCATGGTATGCCCTTCCCCTTGTCCCTCAACCTACCCTCCCTTTCCCCAGCCTCGCCACCTAACAATTACCCGAAATGCAGGTTCACCGTCCTCCACCCCGAAAAGCTCCCCAGCGTGATCGACCGCTACGTTACGGAAGTCCGCCGCATCCTGGGGGTGCTGGACACGGTCCTGGCCGGCAGAACCTGGCTCGTGGGGGACAAGCTGACGTTCGCGGACCTGGCGTTCGTGCCGTGGAACGGGCGGCTGAATTACCTGCTCCCGGAGGCCGAGCAGGATCTGGCGGCGTGGCCCAACGTGCAGGCGTGGCAGCGGCGGCTGGAGGCGCGGCCGGCCTGGCGGACGTGCCTCGAGCGGCGGGATCAGTTGATGGATGAGCAGGGGTTGCAGCCGAATGGAATGCCTAAGGGGGTGAGTAATATTCGGGAGTATGAGGAGTTGATTGCGCGGAATGCGGCGGAGGGACGGGGGGAGTAGAGGGTGAGTTGGGTTTTGGCGCCATGAGGTTCCAAGCAGATACTATATCCAGCATTACTTGAATCTTGAATTTTGTTTTCTGAGATTATATATGTTACAGGCCTGTCTTCGGTTCATTGATAACCCGCTCCTCACTCTAGGCAAAGAGAGGCTCGAGGAGGGCAAGTGAGAGCTGGACGCTCATCTGAATCGGTGTATACATGCTCATCATCCAAGAATCGTGTACGACTGCATAACCATGGTAAACAAGCATTTGCATCGAACCAAATTTCCCTACCTAGAGTAGCCAGCTTGTACATGATGGCTGATCTTCAAATCCCGGATCTGATAAGATGCAGGGATCGCGACGGCTGATTAATCGGCATTGCGTGATGCGGAATTCCGGCGAATGGAATCGGCCACTGTATATGTCAGCCTCCGGATTACCAACCCTGCTCGCCACAGACGCTGATTGGAGAAATGCCAGGATTCAGACACCTGTTATGTATGAGATGTAAGCTGAATGCGGTAATCATTCCAGATACCGTATACTTCATACTCGTACTTCGATGATTATGTGATCATCTAGATGTTGTGCTCCGGGGATTGCTCGGCGATTGATTGTTAATCCTCCAAGCCGGTGGCGTCATTGCCGCCCGCTGCCCGCTGTCTGTCTTTATATACCACCACATCAATCACATCAACACAACAACCTCATCCATCCTTCAGCACACCCTCAATCTAAACGTACTCGCTGCAAGCACACTCAGTCGAACCAACTGCACAATCAAAGTCATTGACAATGACGGCACAAGGCGACGTCACGGCGGAGATCAACTTCTACCGCGCGCCAGCCGACGGCTCCGCGCCCTTCGCCTACGTGGAGCAGCCTCCTGCCGGCCAGCCGCAACAGAACTTCTCGCAGACCACGCAGCAGGTCCCTCTCCGCGACATCCGCGGCCACGAGGACGAATACTCCCTCGCCAAGGACGCCTTTCAAGTCTTCCGGGGCGTCCCGTCGGCAATGACCTACGCGCAATTCGACTCCGACGAGGCCATCCGCGAGATCTACTACCCGGAAACCGAGCGGTTCCTGCTCGAGCACGTCCCCGGGGCCCAGCGGGTGGTCATCTTCGACCACACGGTGCGCAAGCATGACCCGAGCGCCTCGCGGCAGCCCGTGACGTACGCGCACGTGGATCAGACGGCAGCCGCGGCGGAGGCGCGGGTGCGGCGGAGCATCGCGGACCCGGCGGAGGCGGAGAAGCTGGCGCAGGGCCGCTTCCGCATCATCAACGTCTGGCGGCCGATCAACGGGCGGGTCGAGTCGCTGCCGCTCGCCTTTGCCAGCGGCAGCTCCACCGACCCCGCGGATCTCATCCCCGTCCAGCGCCGCTACCCCACCTTCACCGGCGAGACCATGAGCGTCCAGTACCGGCCCTCCCAGAAGTGGCTGTACTGGTCGCACGTCGACGACGACGAGCGCATCCTGCTGCAGTGCTCTGATAATCAGCCGGGCGCCGTGGCGCGCGTGCCCCATGCCGCGTTCGTGCATCCCCGCTCTCCTGCGGATGCGAAACCCAGGGAGAGTATTGAGGTGCGCGCGCTGGTGTTTGATTAGTGGTTTTTATTGAGGGATCACTTCTGGACTTGTTTCTTTGTTGTTGTACACCTACATAGCGTGGTGTTACCATTTATGTATCATGACTACTAGATCAATGACCGAAAATGCATGAGTTTGATCAAAGACAATCTAGCCCTCCCACCGCTACGACAAACTGCAGATACACTGCATCCTGGGAACGATCAGTATCAATGTATGCCCACTGCCTAACAAACCGCATACACTTCCCCATATCAATTTCACCGCACTAGAACCACCGCGCCCCAATCAATCCCGGAATCTCCCTGACAGCAGGCCATCACCCCCAGCCCCCCTTCCGCGCCCCAAACACCACCGCCATTCCCCAGCACCCCCACCGAAGTGACCGTGAGGGCAAAATTCACCAACGCCGTCCGCCGCCAGGGCCCGACTCTCTTCTCAACGCGATTCCGAAACCCTTCCCCGGTATTGGTCTGGGGAAACGGCTCCAGCGGGACCTCCTTGCCCAAGAACTATAACTCGTCAGTCAGCCACCAACCCAACCCAAGCCCCAAACCCCCACCCCCCAAGCACCAGACCGACAAAAGAAAGGACCAGCAAACCTCACACAAAGGGCCCCAGCCATCCCTCCACATTCCACTCCAACAACCTCTCCCTCTCCACCAACCCCTTCACCAACCACCCATGCTCGCGATACACCCTCTTCCCCATCCCAACAACCTCCCCCCCCCCTCCACCGTCCTCCCCCGAAACAGACCCGGATACCCAAAGGTATAATACAGGCGCCACCGCCAAAACACCTCCGCACTGAACAGATGCAGCACCCACAGGCCCCAATGCGCGGCGCCGTCCGTCACGAAGGCCTGCCGCGCGCTGCGCTACCACGCCGCCACGTCGCGGCGCGTGTTCAGGATCACCTTGGCCGTACTTGCGTTCGGCCAGCTGCGCCCACACTTGGATGTGCGCCGCCGTGTCGAAGAGTAGGTCCCAGCCGTGGAAGGGCTTGTAGCCCAGCTGCGTGAGGGCGAGGCTGAGGCTCTCCGTGCCGGAGCGGGGGAGGCCTACGCATAGGATGCGGATGGGTGCGGTGCGGTGGCGGGGTGCGGGCGGGGGGTATACCGTAGAGCGTTGTGATGAGGGCGTTCATTTTTTGGGATGCGTTCGGTGGTGGGTAGGTGTGGTTTGGATTGTTTTGGGTGGAGGGAGGCTGTGATGATGGTGGTCTGCGGGCTTGATCAGGTTTTGGCCGCGGCGGGAAGAGACGGTTGTGTAACGATGGCTTAGAAATGACAGAAAGAGGTAGTCTCTAATAAGGAAGGAAGAAACCTGGCAGGGAAGTGTCACCTTGGATTTGACTCTGTTCAATGTTTTGTCTTGTATACTAGGATATGGTGGGTGACTACGATCCTGAGCTGTGGAAACGAACCTAGTGCTTACTGGTCAATGCGGACAGCATAAAGCTTGATTGGCTGGTTCGCATCTCAGGGTTCGACAACACCGAGAATCATTGAAGTATATCCAGCTCGTGTTAATCATGGTTCTGGACATCGCCTGGCAGTTTTGTTTCACTCTCAGGAGTCGATGACCCGTTGAGGCAGCAGTTGTGGGATTCCCGCACTCATCCTCACTGCAGAGGGCTGTGGGATTGAGGCTGGACCGGAAGATGAGCTCTATTCGTCGGTCAGAAGCAAGGAGTGTTGCAAAAGCGGTTGTTCAACACGTGGCTAGATAGATAAATTGACCGGCATTGTGAAAGAGATATTGACAGCACAGGGGCGGGTGTCAACAAACATTCACCTTGGCTCTACCCGTAGAATGTGTATATCTTTTCATATGAGGTTCTATCAGGCTGAACTTCAGACTCAAGTCTGAGCTTAGTCTGGCAGGTTGCAAGCACGAATAATGACACTGTAAAACATCTGATAGTTCCCTAGCATTGCACAAGAGTTCCAGATAGCTCGAAGCGCTCGAACAAGAATACACACTGCCCGGTCAGCAAACTCGCAACTTGCCAGGAACTTCACCATTTGACTGAAAATCGAGAGGATAAAACGTGGCTGGGTTGACTATAGTTGAGTGTAAGTACTGTTTCCAATAGCTTGAGATTTCTTCAACAAGGCTTTTGGCTTGAGAAAGTTGTATCTCTAGCAAATTTGAAGTTATTTCACACAGTTGTAATTTAGCTGGCAAGGTCTTCACCGCCTGACGATGGAGATATTTCTGTCCGGCAGACCAAGTGCCGAAAAAGTAAGGCGGTGGAAAGCTCCTGTCAACCAGACAAATCGCTAGCAAATCATCTTCACATGCACTCAACAACCACAGTGCCCATATACAGAGTACAGTACTTCGTGCACCACGCACATACCTCCAGAACCCATCTAAGTCACCTTTGCTTTGAAATTCAATTTTCGACCTTGAAAAATGACGTCCCTGCCAAGCACCCAGCAGCAGGGAATACACCACCCACCCGCGAACGGCCCGCGCTGATGCGCAACAGCCGCACTCGTCACTCTGCTTGTTTACCCGTCGCGCTGCCGAGCATCAGCTCGCCTTTGCGCCCAATCCTATCATCTAAACCACCGGGCATCCTGCTACGTGATCTGCGATCATATATCAGTGGCGTAGATATAGTTTACAAGAGCAACATCTCAGAACTCTATTCCATCTCCGCCGGGGAGCGCGCGATACGCACGTAAATTGATAGCGGCCGCGCGATGTATAAAAATCCCCATGCGTCAGCCCAGCAACGCGGTTTCACATCCGACGACGGCTTGCCATCCCACCGCTGACGTGTGCCTTTATTTTCTTGTTCGGCGACAAAAGTCTATTGTATCCCGAAGCTCAAAGACTCGCTGCTGGGGTTGTGCCTTGATCCAATCAAGGTTTGCCGACGGGGACTCGCCAGGATCACACCACCGCGCTTGGATACCCGCCCAGCCGCGATGGAGCTTGGTAGCGACGAGGGCTTTATAGTATGAGTACGTACGTGGACGGAACGTGTATACGTTTGAAGCGTACGTCATGGATTGGGTGGAGGGTCGATTCGCTTGGAATATTAGCGCTACAACTACAATGTACTAAAGTTTTTGAAGTGGTTGTGCACGGCGTGTTCCATCGGAGCAGAAGTGCTTTCGATGGTTGAGTTCCTGTCGGGGATGTTACTGCTTGCGGAAGGTAACCGTTAGGATGGGATGGGATGGATGATCTTGTGCCAGAGATTGGGATCCACCCCTCCCGCGCCGCGGGTGCTCACACCGCCCTTGTGTAATGCACTTGCATCTGCACCTCAGTACACTTTCGCGGTCTCACCTGCGTTCAGATGAAAGTACATTCACCACCAGGTAGTGGCTTGAAGGTGAGAGAGACCGAAAGAAGAGTCGAACCTGATCCTGCTGAGGATATCCCGTGCAGTACCAGAGCCACGAGCAGCCATGTGCGAGAGAGGTGAGTCAGCTGAGTCAGCGGACATGCCAAGGCTCAACCATTAGTCATGCACCAAACTACTGAGTAGCAAGTGGCCCAGCAGGCGGTCAGAGAGTAAGATTTAGTGGAGTCTCAGACGGAACGGCAGTGGCTTGAAGCGAGGACCACGGTGCGGCTCATCATCCTGCCCTCTCTTCTTCATGGTTTGCACCTTGCCCTGCCCTTTTGCAATCGGGACCATCCCTTGGCGCACGTTTCTGGCGTGCAGCTATACATACATGAACGGTGGGAAATGGGGTCAGAACAGGAGAGAGATCGCCTTTTTTGACAGTTCTTTTTCCCTTTTTCCTGGATCTGAATTGAAGCTATCCCGGATGCATGGGTTGGTGGACAAAGTAACTCCGAAACACACGTGCTTTTTGCAGCTGGACGACTACCGGGTTAGGGCATGTGCTGATTGGCAATACGACCACACCTGCTGGAAGACATTTCATTGGCTTACCCTCTCTCAATTTCTTTTTTTGTTTTCTTTTTTTTTTCTTCTGCTTTTTTGCCCTTTGTTTCGGGCGCAGAGTTTTCTCTTTTTCTCTTTTCAGGCCACCCCACGCTAACCTTTCCTGGCCAAATACTACGCCGATCCACTTTTGAGTAAGAAAACCCACTTTTAGAGGAGATTCCCACGAATAGACATGGTTTCCAGTTTGGAGGGGAACACTCGGTTGCGGCAGGTATCTCGAGGATTCACACGGTAAAGTGAGGGGAGGAGCTGAGGGTGGGAGGGACGGCGGCGGTCACGGCGGTGCTGTCGGCTTTTGTTGCAGCCTCACTGGGGGCAGGCAGTGTGGGAATTCCGAGTCAGATGCAAAAGAAAAAGAGTAGAGAGGGGAAAGAAAAAGGTCGGACCTCTCCGTCCGTCCCTCACCCCCCGGACCCGCAAAAAGTTCGGTATGGGGTATGGGGTCCGCCAACAACGGATGCCTAATAAAATCGACTGCCCTATTTTGTTGGTCCCCTCCGACTCTCCCCCATCAAGTCCCCATCTGTAGGGTTGCTCCGAATTTTCTCGATCTCGGCTAATACCCATTTCCCATGGTACGTAGCTCCCGAAGTCCCTTGCGTCCTGGACAGGCTGGACCCTTTCTGGCTGGTGTTACTGCCTACTTGATGAGTATTACTACTGTACTTACTACTTAGTGCTACCAAGGCTTTTCTTATGTTTGCCTACTCTGCCTACTAGGGTAGAGCTCTTCCCCGGCTTGGCCGTTCAGGTTTCATGTGATTGGGATCGACGGCTTCCGGGGCGTCAGCCAGGAAAGCTTTAGCCTTCCGGCGCGGCAACCCGGGTTTCGGCGGTTAAAACAGCGAGCACGAAGCAAGAACGGTAACTGAAACGAATCGAAGGATCGTAATCTCGGCCGGGGCAGCTTCATCCCTTGGCCCACGAAATTATCGCTCGGAATTTTACCGTCGTTGAATGGACTGACTCGACATGGTGAGAGTGAGGGTTAGACTGAGAGCTGGCAGAAGATGGGGGGGGGATGGGTTCCCGTTAGGGCAAAGAGAGGGGAAGATCCTCACTTGGTGCATATGGAGTGGATCCTCAGTCCCTTGGCCAAGTGGTCTGTTTCCCACCACTCACGCCGGTTTAATCCGACCCTCCCTCCATGTGCTATCTCTCCGCATGGAGAGAGAGCGAGGGAGGGAGGGAGAGAGGCGTGGCCATGTGGGAGATGACTGCTGTCATCCCTGCTGGACAAAGATGACTCGATTTTGATTGATCGATGGATGGCTGGATCGGTTAATACTGTTCCACATTCCCCTCCCCGCATCAGCAGGGAATAGGAACTTAATCAACAATCTCCTATGAGATTCATCAAGAACAGTAACCTGGAGAGAGCCTGAAGGTCGGCAATCTTACTCTTTCCGGGAGCAGTCAGTGCCCTGAACCACAGACGAGTGCCAAGCGGCACAGTCGCAACCAGCGTAGCGTTGCGGTTGAATCCCTGACGTCAATGGCGCTTTGAGACCCCGAACTGAGCTTTTTTTTCGCGGGGCCCCAAAAGATCTCATTGGTTTTGATGCGGTGTGAATGGCCCCAGTGGTCCCTCCTTCTAAGCCCTCTAAACCCTCTAAACCCTCTTGGCCCTCTTGGCCCCCTTGGCGGCTCGCGACACATGCCCTATACCACTTCCCGACTTAAGTCTTATGTTTCTCTCGGCATTAGCAAAGCATTTCCAGCATTTCGAGCATTTTGGTTGCATCGCGAAACATACATAAACCCTCCTGCTGCTGCCCTTGCCCTGGTTGGGAGATCCCTTCCTACTTGTCAAACCTCCATCCCTTACCTCTCTCCCCCTTTTTTCTTTTTTTACTCTCTCCCTTCCTTTCAATTGTCACGCATACCAACATTCTTCCTCGATTGGTATCCGATTTGAAAAGAAGGTCGATCTCCTTAAGTCAACATGTGGACAACAACATGTGGCTTGCGGGGCCGCAAGCTCCGCTTGGCCATCACCATCGTCTCCGTCCTGGGTTTCTCACTTTTCGGTTATGATCAGGGTCTGATGTCCGGTATCATCTCCGGTGATCAGTTTACGTCCGAGTTCCCTGCCCTGGCTACCGGCGCTGGCAAGGATGACAACCACGTTTCGGTCCTTCGCGGTGCCGTCACTGCCTGTTACGAGCTCGGTTGTTTCTTCGGTGCCATCTTCACTCTCTGCTTCGGTGAGCGCATTGGTCGGACTCCTCTGTTGGTTGCGGGTGGTGTCATCATGACCATCGGCGCGGTCATCTCTACTGCCTCCTACGGCGACAAATGGGGTCTGGGCCAGTTCGTCGTGGGTCGTGTCATCTCGGGCCTGGGCAACGGCATGGACACGGCCACTATCCCCGTCTGGCAGTCGGAATGCTCGAAAGCCCACAACCGTGGTTTCCTGGTCTGCTTCGAGGGTGCCATCATCGCCGTCGGTACTTTCGTCGCTTACTGGCTCGATTTCGGTCTCTCGTACGTCGACACCTCGGTGCAGTGGCGCTTCCCCGTTGCCTTCCAGATCATCTTCGCCGTGCTGGTCACCGTTGGTGCCCTGATGCTCCCCGAGTCCCCTCGCTGGTTCGTCATGCGCGGCCACGACCAGGAGGCGCGCGAGGTGCTGGCCGCGCTGAACGACCTCTCCCCCGACTCCGACCAGGTGCTGGCGGACTACAACCTCATGAAGGCGGATCTCAAGGCCTCCCAGGATAACAAGGCCAGCTTCAAGACGCTGTTTACCTTCGGTAAGACCCAGGAGTTCCAGCGCATGATGATCGGATGCTCGGGTCAGTTCTTCCAGCAGTTCACTGGCTGCAATGCCGCCATCTACTACTCGACCCTGCTGTTCGAGACCAACCTGCAGATGGAGCACCGTCTCTCCCTGGTGCTGGGCGGTGTCTTCGCCACCGTGTACGCGCTGGCCACCATCCCCTCCTTCTTCATGATCGAGAAGGTCGGTCGCCGCAACCTGTTCCTGATCGGGTTCCTGGGCCAGGGGCTGAGTTTCATCATCACCATGGGCTGCCTGATCGACGACACCACGTCCAACTCCAAGGGTGCGGTCGTGGGTATCTTCCTCTTCATCGTCTTCTTCGCCTTCACGACCCTGCCCCTCCCCTGGATCTACCCCCCCGAGATCAACCCCCTCCGCACCCGGACCATGGCCGCCGCCGCCTCGACCTGCACCAACTGGATCTGTAACTTCGCCGTCGTCATGTTCACGCCCGTCTTCTCCTCCTCCAGCTCCTGGGGCATCTACCTGTTCTTCGCGCTGATCAACTTCATCGCCATCCCCTTCGCCTGGTACTTCTACGCCGAGACCGCCGGCCGCGACCTCGAGGAGATCGACATCATCTTCGCCAAGGCCCACATGGAGAAGAAGTGGCCCTACCAGGTCGCCAACGAGCTCCCCAAGCTCACCGCCGAGCAGATCGCCCAGATGTCCGCCGAGGTCGGTCTGGAAATCCCCTCCCACCAGGTGGCCCACGAGTCCGAGAAGGCCGAGCTAGCCCTCAGCAGTGGCGAGAGCCAGGAGCGCAAGGAGACCTACTAATCCTGAGGCCTTTTGCCGCTTCAACAAAAAATAATCACCAGATACCCCCCTCTCCCCGCATTTATACATGTACAGTCGGAGCCGTGCTGCTTTGAATTTGCAATCGATTACCCCCGAAGGATCTTCACTGTCAGGTGAAGTTTTGATGTCCTTCAAATGTTTGATGTCTTTCCCTTTTTTGATTTTTGATTTTCTTGTTGATATCACAAAGATTCTCCGCATTGGCTATTGCTTCTTTTTCTTGGGAATTGGTGATGCGACAATGTGTTCTATGACGACTCCGCCTATGCCACCACAAGGCTTGTGGGCACACACATGTATGGAGCTTGTTTTTCTTGTGGGGAGTTCCTCTTGATCAGTTATGGGGATGACCCTCCTTAGATGGTATATTGGTATATAGATATCCTGTGTTCGTTGATAGAGGAGAGACAGCTATCGGCAACCCAATGCATTTTCTGTGCCATGTGACGCTTTGTACCTGTTCCTGCGTAGATTCCAGCTCCAACTGCGCAGGTTGGAGTGGTTTTTTTTCTTTTTTTCTTTTTTTTTATTACTTCTCCTTCTGGCTAGATTCTAGCTGTCGTATCTGTCAGGAACATTTCCTGTCCTTCCTCATTCCTGGTGCTTGAAGGTCCCCCGACTATAGTGCATAACCTCTCGGTGGCTTTTCTTCTTAGTAAGCTCTCAACTCAACTTGAACTACACTTGAGCTGAACCCAGCTCAGCTATCATCTGGCTTCATCGTGGCTATTAATCCGATCCTCTCTTGCACTGGTGACCCGATCCGGCAATTCCACCTATTCCAAGAAATCACATCCCCTACATCACCGCGACGAAATCGACCTGAATGTCCACCCCGGCCGGCAACTTGGACACCTCCACCATCGACCGAGCCGGCCGATGCGGGAACGCCGGGTCATACACTCTGGCGAATTCGGGCATGGTGCTGGCGTCGGTCACGTACACCTGTTGTTTCTCCAGTCAGGCAGGTAAACTTAAACAAAAAAAAAAAAAAAAAAAAAAAAAAAAGACATATGACAGGGCCCAAAATTAACAACAACCTTAACCACCCGATCCAGCCCGGACCCCGCCTTCTGGAGGATAGCCTCCGTGTTCTGGATGATGGCCTGGGTTTTCTCCGTCACAGACCCCTTGATCAGGTTCCCTTGGGCGTCGGCCGGGATCTGGCCGGAGAGCCAGACGTGGGTACCGGCTTTGATGGCTTGAGACTGAATGGATGATGTGCTGGTCAGCACGGGTATTAGGGCTTGTTCACGGGGAATATAGAGGACGTACGTAGTGGGCGAAGGCTGGGATTTTCACGGTTAGTGGGAGCTATGTAAAGGCTAGTGTTATGGCTGGGCTGGACTCAACGCGCATAGCATTTGTCGGTGTAGATACTTGAGACCGTGGTTTTATCCCGGGTCGCTTGGAGAGGGAGCATGTTGCAGCGCCCGGGGTGTATGGACGCTCGGAGGGGCATTCCACAGGTGGTGGCAAGGGAGGTAGAGAGGGCGCGACGGAACATTTTACTCGGTTAGTGGGTACGCAGCAGATTGGGCAGGGTCCGAGGTTTTATGTTTAGCTGAAGATACGTACAGTGAGTATGTCACAATAAGAAGAAGGGATTAACCCTAGAAGCTATCCATAGAATAATAACTCCGATGAGCCGATCGGCATCGGCGTCCTTCCCCGATGCCGCCCCGATGGAGCTGCCTTACCGATCGGCCCCACCCGCCGACTCGGGTTTCTAAGCAAGCCGAGGCCAGGAGAAATTCATCTTTCGTAATGCATCTAAGGATCTAGCTGCCTTTTCCTGCTCATCTATAAACACAGTTCATCCTAAGTGACACTACCTAGAAGCCAGCTAGACAAGTTTTTGTGAACCACCACCGCAACACGACCCAGCCCAATGGCCACAGCGGCAAAGAGAGTCAGTCGACTCCTCACTTCAAGGTCAGCCTCCCGTCATCCCAGATCCACAGCACACCCGCTGACAGAAGAACCAGACCTATGCATCTCAGTGGGACACTCTCTCTTCGTCCCCTCAGTCAATTGCGAATGAGTTCCTCAGCAGCAGCAGCAGCAGCAGCAGCAGCAGCAGCAGCCTCATCCTCCTCTCCGGATGAAGAAACAGCAGCAGCCACCAAAGCAGCGCAAGCCAACTACAAAATCGTGCAAGACATCTCCAACTTCTCACAGACCGAAGCCAGCCGCGCACCCTTCGACCACACGCCCACCCCAATCGCGGTAACCCAATCCCCCTACCCAAGCTGGACCTACGGCCAAGGCGTGCCGGACCACGGCGCCAGCGCCCGCAAAACCCACCGCGAGATCGACCCGTACGCCGCCTCCCGCCCAGCCATCAACAACTACCGGCTGCTGGTGTCGGGCATCGCCCCGCGACCCGTGGGGTTCCTGAGCACCGTCTCCGGCGACGGCGCGACCAAGAACCTGGCGCCCTTCAGCTACTTCCAGGTGGTCGACCACGACCCGCCGCTGTTCATCGTGGGGTTCTCGTCGCGGCCGGGGCGCGCCAAGGACACGTACCGCAACCTGCAGGCGACGGGCGAGTGCGTTATCAACACCGTCTCCGAGGGGATGATCGAGGCCGTCAACGCCACGGCCATCGACGCCCCCTACGGCGTCTCGGAGTGGGAGGTCAGCGGGCTGACCGAGGCGCCCAGCTCCACCGTCACGCCGTCGCGCGTCCGCGAGTCGGTCTTCTCGGTCGAGGGCCGCGTGCTGGAGATCAAGGAGTTCGCCGCCCACAGCCCCGGGATGAGTGTGTCGGCCGTGGTGTTGATCAAGGCGACGCGATTCTGGGTCGAAGAGGGGGCCGTCGATGCCGCGGGGAGTCATATTGATCTGGAGAAGTTGAGGCCCGTGGCGCAGTTGGGGGGTGTGGCGTATGGGCGCATCTCGTCGACGTTTGAGCGGCCGCGGACAAAGTGGGAGGTCGAGGTGGAGAAGAGTGAGGTGTTGAGGGAGTTGGAGAGGAAGACTGAGGGTGGTGGAAACTAGATTCATGATACCATGGGAATAGATGTGGCGTTTTTAGATGTTCAAGTGGTCTTATGCTTAATAGAATATGATAGAAAGCTGAGTAAATATTGTCTTGATGACATTATGTGGTACAGTAGGAGTGAGAAAGACCGAGTGATTGTCAAGGAAAGGCTTGCGAGCATAGTCCTCATTTGCATTGCCACTGAAGGTATAGCAAAGCGTGCAGATCGCCAGAAGGGGTAAAATGGTGACAGCCACCGCACAGCACAGCCACAGCCAACTCCGCCACATCGGATTTCCACTCCGACCGACTATCGGAACGCCCTTCCTCGGCCGGGTTTCCCCGCGTTTTCCGCCCACGCGTCGGCGTCGATCAACAATTCATCCACCCTGTACATCATCACAAACCATTGACCCTTCCCCATTCCATACATCCCATCCGTCAACATGTCTCTCCTCCGCCTCATCAGATCTTTTCCCTCCCCCCTGCTTCACCGCCACCTCCCCCTCCGCACCCTAACCACCGCACCCCCCAAGAAGAAAGAATGGCTCTGCATCCTCCCCGACAAGCCCAACGTCCTCGACCTCCGCCTGCAAGTCCGGCCGTACGTCTTCTGGCCCTCAATCCCCCTGCCACATAACTAACTCCGATTCATAGTACGCACTACGCGGAACTAAACCCCCTCATCGAGGCGGGAAAGATGGTCGTCGGCGGTAAGTCTGTCCCAACCACTACCTGTAGTCTCAACACATATCTTCTGGTAATTTTCTCTGGAGTAAGATCCAAATCATTGACTTCAGGCTGCAGGCGCGATGGTCGACGCCCACCCGGAAGAGGGCAAGCTCCTTTCCTTCAAGGGGAGTATGATCGTGGTGACCGGGGAGACGGTGGAGGAGGTGCACGAGCTGATCAACAATGATATCTACGCCAAGAGTGGGGTGTGGGACTTGGAGAAGGCGCAGATTATTCCGGTATGTTTTTCCTTTGTTTTTGTCGGAGGTAGTGGTGATTGTGTGGCTGATTCTGGTGGTAGTATATTTCGGCGGTTCGGGAGCCGTTGAATAAGGAGTAGAGTTGGTTGGCTGAGGGTGCAGGGTTTTTGGGGCACTGAGCTTACTGGTGAAGGGTTTTTGGCGTAGTGTTTGGTACTTTCCGTGAGTGGCATGATCGAATGCTTGAGGGAAGGTGTTGAGACTTGGGGATTGGCTTTTCTCGTACGGGCCTTGGGTTCCACTTCTTCTGCTGAGACAGGGACAGTGCAGATGCTATACAGTCATATACCCTGCACACTATATTCAGATGGGACCTCATCCGATCACATGAGGAGCTTAGGGCCTACAGACGTGGAATAGCCATGGGGAAGGTTGTAGCTGAGCAAGTTCGGTAGATGCGACTCGCATTACGTCTCTTGAACCCCGGTCTATCTAGTCTTGTCTATTGCTTCTTCTGCAACTCATGCAAATGCCGCGTGCCGTTGATGATCGCCTCAGCGAACGCACTGCGTACCCCGGCCTTCTCCACCGTCAACAGGCTCTGAATCGTGCACCCCCGGGGCGAGGAGATGCTCTCGCGCAGCACCGCCGGATGGACGCCGCTCTTGAGCAACTGCGCCAGCCCCAGCAGACACTGCGCCGTCATCTCCGAGGCCTCCGCCCGGCGCATCCCCTCCGCCACGCAGCCATCGAGGATCCCGTCCACCGCGACAGAAACCGGGGCCAGCATGGCGACCAGCATCGACCCCAGGTCAAACAGCTCCGGCGCGACCACCTTCACCTGCCCCAGCTGCGCGAACATCCACTCCACCACCCCGCGGTTCGCCGCCGCACACTCCGCCGGTAATTCCACGACGGTCATCGACTCGCGCACGCTGGCCGCCACGTTGGGGATCGCCCGCGCCACGGACGGCCGCGCGGACGCCTGGACCTCGGCACTGGCATACTCGGTGATATACCCCGCCAGCACGGCCGGGGTTTTGCCCGCGATCACGCTGATGATGAACTTCTCCGCCAGCGCGTCGGCCATCCCGTCGGCCGCGATGACCGCCTCCACCAGGTACGGCTTGCACCCCAGCATGACGTAGTCGGCCTCGCGCACGGTGGCCAGGTTCGCGTCGGCGCGCACCTCCACCCGCGACCGGTCCTGCGCGTACTGCTCGCGGAGTCTGTGGGCGGACTGCTCGGTCTTGGTGCAGGCGATGATGCGCCCGAACGGGCTGGTGGTCGGGTCGGCGCGCGTGGCGTCGAGGATCCCGCTCAGGATCGCGGAGCCCATGTTTCCTGGTGGTTGGGTTAGTTTTATGTGGTACAAGTGTTGAGGTGAGGGGGCAGCTTGGTACCGCATCCGATGATCGCTAGTGTCGATTGAGGATCCATGTTATGTATGTGTTGGTGTGTTGTGTGTGTGTATGTGTGTGTGTGTGTGTGTGTGTGTGTGTGTGTGTGTGTGTGTGTCCGGTGGTTGGGTGAATGAATCATCGAGGATAAGTGGGAGAATTGCGAATGTTGGTGCAATCTCCGGCGGGGTTTCGGATGGCCGCTCCGAAATCGGGGGTTCCGTGTGATAAGCCCTTCAGTGAACTTGGTGTTCCAAAGATAAGCAGATATCAATTGACGTATGGTTCTATCATTTACTTTCTAGTCCTGGTGTCATCCGTGGCGACTCTTGTGGTCGGTTTGTTTGATGGAGCCAAACCAGGAATCGCCTTCATGCATTAGTCAGCAGTCGCAGCTCAGCCTCAGGCTCCAGCCTCGTCCGACTTTTTCTCTCCACGCATCAACTGATCGGAACTATCCTCCGATACGATGATATCGACATGTCTCTTCGCAATGCAGAGCAATCGAGGGTCTACAAGAAATGTCAGAAGGCGTGAGTCTAGCTGTGGTGTCTGTCAAACAATATGAACTAACTCATTTCCAGCTGCGTACGATGTCGGTCCATGAAGGTCAAGTGCTCCGGGTCAAATCCCTGTGGGCGTTGCGCCCGGAGCAAGAAACCATGTCACTATGCAGTGGAGGAAGCAAGGGTCTCGGTGCCGGAGAGGTAGCCGGATAGCTACGATGGTATCTATTAGTCAATGGCTGATGGTGCGAATGCAGCTACCTGCGTGATCTCGAGCGTCGCCATAGTGCGGCTGCAACTGTGCGTTACGCCGATGTACGCACCTCGACCGAAGACGGAGACTCGTTCGTCTTCTCGCAACCATCGGTTCTAGAGCATCAAGATGAATACTCGGGCTTCCAATCGCATGTCGAGGCCAACCGTAGGTCGCCTCTTCCGTCCTAACCACTTCGTACTGACACATCCAGCAGCCCCGTCGGAGCATGATTCCCAACCAGAAAGAGACGGACTGCGGTCGAAGTTCTCTCGAAACCCTCTGGTAGAATACTCATTTGCACAGTCCCCGGACGGACGATTCTGTGAGCTGCCTCCCCACCATCCATGCCCACAGCATTAACCCAGAATCAGGGTACATGGGTCCCACCTCCTCCTGGTCCTTCTGCCGCCGCGTGCTCGCCCTGCTAGGCAAGCATGTCCCCGACGCCAACTGTCCTCCGGACCCATGGAACGTCGACGCCTCAGCCTTCGCCCTCAAATGGCGACCCCTGCCGATGGACGAGGTGCCTGAAGTCTGCCATCTACCCCCGATCGACTACGGGCTGTATCTCTTCCACACCGTCAAGTACTACCTGGGGACACTATTCTACATCATCGACAGCGCTTCCTTCCTCCGCCACCTGCACGAGTTCTACACCGACCCCGCCACGAAAGTTGTATCGATGCGTCTGTGGTACGCACAGTATCTTCTAGTCCTCGCTTTTGGAAAAGCCTTCCTGGCACAGAATCACCCGCCGAATGCCCCGCCGTCGGGGTATCAGTACGCCGCGCGCGCGATGTCCCTCATGCCGGACCTGTCGGGGATGTATCCCGATCCTCTGCAGTGCATCCGCACCCTGACACTCGCCGCGCTGTACTTCCAGTCGATCGATATGCGGGTCGCGGCATTTCAGCACGTGTGTTCCCTCCCTCGTTCCTGGTAGTCTACCCGCACTGTACAGTACAATACTGATAAGGGATAGATCGGCTTCGCCCTCCGCTTCTGCATCATCGAAGGCATCCACCGCCACGTGCCGGAGGAGCTGAACGGGGCGGAATTCTCGCACCAATGCCGGACCATCTTCTGGATCGTCTACATGCTGGACCGGGAATTCGCCGCCCTGATCGGGGCGCCCAGCTCCATCCGCGACGAGGACATCACCGTGCGGCTCTTCAGCGATGGAGCGGTGGACGAGAAGACGATTACCTTCCACGTGCGCCTCGCGAGACTAAACGCGAGGATCCTGACGAGTACATTCACTCCCAACCCTCTGCATTCATCTCAATATCCCTAACCAAGGAAACTCCAGCGGTGTACGGCGTGGGACCCGACTCTACCGGCACACTCATCAAAGACACGCAGGCCATCCTGCGGAACCTGGCCGAGCTCTCGCAGGATCTCACCGGGTTCCTGAACGCCGAGTTCCCCGCGGCATTGAGCCGGGCGTCGCGGACGGCGACGCGGTTGGTCCTAGGGTATCACCACGTACGCGCCTCCATCCTCCCCAGCCTGCCCATCCCGCTTCCCCGATCAAAGTCCCCAAACAGAATGCTGACAGAAAGGCAAGAGCATCGTCCTCACGACCCGACCCTTGGTCATGTGCGCGCTGCACACGCACATCGAGCGCGCCTCCTCCCGCGTCGCCATCGGCCTCTCCGCCACCGTCGCCTCGCTGCTCCAGTGCTGCGTCGAGTCCGCGCTGACGGTGCTACAGACCCTCCGCACGCTGGCGGACGAGGATCTGATCGGTACGCCCCCCCCCCCCCCCCCCCCCCCCAGCCCAAGCACATGCTGACGCACGCGAAGAATCCTTCCTCCCCTTCCAGATCGAAGACGCCTTCGCCTCCGCCTTCATCCTCCACGTCATCCAGGCCATCGCCCCGGCCTTGATCCCAGACCAGAACCGCTGGGCCGAGCACATCGACTGCGTGCTCGAGAAGATCGTCTCCAAGGGCAACCTGGCGGCGCCGATGCGGCGCGCCGAGCTGGAGAATCTGCGCGTGATGATGGGGCCGATTACGCCGGTTGCTGGTGGTAGTGCGGGGTCGCCTGGGGAGGTAGAGCGGCAGCAGGGGCAGCAGCTACAAGAACCTAGCCATGCTGTTGCCGAGGCCATGCGTGGTGGTAGTGGGTTGGACGTCACTGTCGCGCCGCACGATCCATCCACAGACTGGGAATGGGAGTACCTGGCGATCCACTCGACGATCGGGCTGGGGATGGAACCCCGGGAACTGATGGATTTGGCGAATCGGTTGGAGGGGGAGATTGGGGGTAGAGTGTAGGATCCTTTTGGGATTGACTTCCTTTCACAGAGAATTATCGTACAGAGAAGGCTTACGCTGGAGAGTGCACCCCACCGCGCCCAGTCATGGGGTTATACATGGAAAAAAAAAAAAAAAAAAAAACACCCCCCTTTCACCTCAATTCATGAGTCATGAAAAGCTAAAACCTAAACCTAAACAATCATCCCCTCCAACCGCTTCAGCCGTCCCCAAACCTGCTCGATCTCCCACTCAATCTCCCGCCGCGGCGCCACCCACACCTTCAACTTGAGGATCCCGGCCGATACCACCAGGAACCCAATCGACGCTAACGGCGCCCACTGCCCGACCTGCTTGGGCGTCTCCTGGGCCGGCCCGTCCTCGTGGATGTAGTACTCGATCCAGGCGACGAAGGCGAGCACGGTCAGGGGGCTGATGACGATACTGAACACGACGGCGAACAGGATGCACAGGTCGAGCAGCAGCCGCACGAGGGAGCCGAGGGTGTGCAGGTGCAGGAGGCAGGTGATGGCCCGGGGCGCTGTCGTGGCGGTCGCGAGGGTGGCGCGCGTTTTCTCGAGGATGCTGCTGTCGCTTCCTCGGTTCCCGGTGGCGACCCCCTCCTCCCCGGTAGTAGCGGGATCGCCGCCGGGATGCTGGGGGGAGGGGAGCGAAGCGGCATGCACGACGGCGAACCAGTCCGCGCGAAACCCGCGGGCGATGGCGGCGCGCTCGCGCCAGATGGTGCGCACGCGCGAGGAGGGGATGCGCGAGCGGTACGGCAGACACCGGAACAGGAGGAGGAGGGCGTTGACGACGAGGGTCAGCGCGATGAGGCTGTAGATGTAGCGCTCGGAGTAGAGGATGCGCGACCAGAAGGCGGAGCGCGCGGTGTGGTCGGCCGCGGTGTCGGCGACGGCGGCCTCGAGCGCGGACTGCTGGCGCAGCGGCTGCGTCGTGTTGAAGCACGGGTAGTAGCACACCGTCGCCAGCGAGTTGAAGAGCGTCGTGTTGCTGAAGATCGCCCACACGCTGCTATTCCACGACGGCGTCGGCCGCTGCCACGCCTGCCACCCGTCGCTGGACACCGTCGCCTCCGGCGGGAAGTAGTCCGGCGCGCAGAAGGCGTACTGCGTCGGCGTGTTGCGCACGCGCGGCCAGTAGATCAGGGCGCTGATCGTGCCTGCCAGCATGAGGACGTGCCAGAGCGAGAAGAGGATGAAGCGCGCGCGGGAGTGTGTGAAGGCCCGCGACCAGGTTTGCAGGGGCAGGAAGATCAGGTAGGCCGTTACCACGATGGCCAGGACGGCGTCGGCGTCGAGGTCGATGGTGGCGGGGGTGATGAGCAGGGTTGTGGTGTTGGTGATTAGGGAGGGGAAGGACGGGGTCAGGCTGGCTAGGAGGGCCGTGTTGTTGGGTGAGATGTAGGGCAGGGTCACTGGGTTTGAAGGAGCATTTTGCGGTGGGCTGGAGACCAGGATGAAGGCCTCCAGAGCGGCTGTTCCCGCGTAGGTCGCCGCGGCTCCCAGGAAGACGTCGGAGAGCCACCCCGTCCACCGGGTCACGCAGGTGGCGAGCAGGAGAGCATAGAACAGGTAGCGTGGGCACGAGTCGTACACCGTGCTGATGGGGTAGGTGCACAGCACTTCCTCGGCCACGAACAGTGGGGTGCTCATGAGTTTGGCTGGTGGTGTAACATCTCGGGGTGGTGAGGTGAGGTTGAGGTTGAGGTTACAAAAGTATGTTCAAGTCCAGGACAAAGAAGATTTGCAGGGTGAATATACATGACGTCATGACCCAGAATAAGCTTTAGGCTTCAATGAAACTCAATGTGGATCAGGAACCATTCCGAGTCCTGAGTGCATCGAGAGTCCAGACATCCATGTCTTTCTTTTGCTCCATGATGGTGATGGTGATGATCACCTGATGCCCCCAGCCCTACGGCGTACCTCAGGATCATCGCTCTTATCCCCCTCATTGAGACATACCCACAGCACCCCAGCCCAACAGCAGACCAACTCGCCTCTACAACTTAGCCACCACCCTCCCCACCCCCTCAGTCGCACGCTCAACCTCGTCATCAAAAGGCACCACCCTCTTCCGATGCGGGACCGGCAACCCGCGCAACGACACCGCCCCGACCAAATACTCTTTCCACCGGCGAAACGTGCCCGGCCCAATGATCTTGGGGAACACGTGCATCGAGAAATGCTTCAGCTCCGGCGTCTCCATCGCATCCGCGCGCTGCTTCTTGCCAGACGCCTCCATCATGTCCCTGGCTCGTGGGGCACGTAATACCTGCACCTCCTCGAACATCGCCTCAATCTCGCCGTCCGTCAAGCTCCCCACACGCCCATTCGCCAGCACCTTCAGCAGACTATTCGTCATCGCGGCTGCGCTTTCAATAGCTTGATTGCCGCCTTGCGCGAGCACCGTCGTCATCTGCCCCCATCCCCAACAGTATCCTCATTAGCCCAGTCCCAACCCCACTCCCCACACACCTTTTCAACCCGTAGTGCCAAGAGAAGGAAAGCTAAGCTCACCTTATGCGCCGCATCCCCAACCACCCCCATCCTCCCCAGATGCCATCGCGAATACACCCACTCCCGCAGGGGCGTGTACACCGTCTCCACCGGCCCAGCACTCATCAGATCCGCCAACGTCACAGTCGGAGTGATTTGATCGCTTGCATGCGCGCGGAGCACCCGCGCCTTATCTGCGGCATCGTACGTCGGGATCTCCGCCCCGTGGTGGATGGCGCCCCGGTTCATGACCAAGAACCACCAGGAGCGGTTGGCGGGGCCGGAGGTGCCCACGATGTAGGACTGGTGGTCGCCCAGGATGAATTGGAGGGTGCTCTCTTCTCCTGCCTCCGCGAGACCCGGGTGGTACGGCGAGAGGCCGAAGATGCAGTCGTAGGTGGAGGGGATTTCTTCACTGTCGGTCAGAATCGGGGAATTATGCAGGGTAAGGAAGGATAGAGGGGGGGGGAAGCATACGCTCTTCTTCGGAGTACTCCTTCCCCAGACCGAGCGCGGTGGCCCGCGCGACGATCGCCTGCCGCACGGTCGAGTGGGTCCCGTCCGCGCCGACGAGGATCTCCCCTCGGTACGTGCTGCCGTCGGCGGTGGTGACTTCGACGCCGTCGGGGAGGTGGTGCACGGTCGTGATGCGTTTGTTCGGCAGGAGTCGGGATTTGTCGGTGATGTGGTCGTGCAGCGTGCGGAGGAGGTGGTGGCGGTCGACCCAGATGTTTGGGTAGCCGTGTCTGTGCGAGTAGTGCATTAGATGATCGTAGGTTCGCCTTAAGGCATAAATAAGTCCCGAGGTGGGAGACTACCTCTCTGTCAAATCCTTGTCCGTGTGATCGACGATAGCCAGGACTTGGCCGTCGGGCCCGCGAAGATATAGCCGCGACACCGCACTGCCCCCTGCCCGCTGATAGAGGTCCTCGAAACAGCCCAGTTGGTCCAGAATGCGCGCGCCGTTCGGCATCACGGCGATGCCGCCGCCGCGTCGCGGGGCCAGATCCGGGTATGCCTCGAGGAGCAGGTAGTCGACGCCGTGCTTCTCCAGCGAGAGCGCCAGGGTGAGCCCGCTGATGCCGCCCCCGGCGATGAGGACTTTGCACGGTCGGAGATTTGGGGGTGGCATTCTGGGTGGTAGTGAGTATGATATTGAAAGAGAGCAGGGGTGAATTGAGTGACTGGGGAACTTGTGGAGCTTATATGATGCTGGAAGAATTGGGAAAGGGTGGTGCGACAAACGGAGAGAGGCTGAGGAGGGAGGCGTTGGGGCGCCGGATGCAGCTGCATCGAACTACAGTCTTAGTGCTAAGACTGGCCCAGATGATTCGTCTCTGCGATGAGGCTTGAATTCCTTTGGGGCAAGGATTTGCCGGCCATAAGCACTAACCGTGCAGCACCAGTGGTTCCACCCCCCCAATCGGGGGTTTGGGATTAGTGGAGCCAGTCGGTCATTCGGGGGTTTTTTATTGGTATAGAAAGAACAAACAACCAAGAAAGACGATTTCAAGCTGTGTGTGCATTGCTGTAGCAAGAGATTAGAGCAGCTTTTCCTAGCTAAAAATAACATGTCGGTATTAGACAGTCTCATGATCAAAACACAATTATAAACGAATGACTATAAGCAAAAATTCCTGATTCATCATCCTCCAAACCACTTCAAAAGGGAGTGAGTTTCATGCCAAAGAGGGATCACGATGGCGGTCGGCGATCCAGAGTGAGGGAGTAGTTGTTGTTGTTTGTCGCATTGACAGGTGCGGAATTGACTGTGGGCCAGGTTAGTCTAGAATTCTCTCAATCCAAGAAAGAAGCGAAGCTCACCTCAAGCACTGGCCGAGGCGTTGGCAGAGGCGTTAGCACTGGCGTGTCCCGAGCCAGAAGCCTCCGCATTAGCGTTAGCAGTGGCAGAACCGCCACCAGTAGCGGTGGCGTCAGCATCAGCATTGGCATCAGCATCTCCATCAGCCGAAGCATTGGCAGTAGCGCTGGCGTTAGCATCGGCGCTGGCGTCGCCGCCAGCTCCCGCGTCGAGTCCTGCATCACCACCTGCGCCTGCCCCGGTGTCAGCACCCGCACCAGTGTCAGCTCCGGTATCAGCACCTACGCCAGCATCACCGCTGCCGCTGCCGCTGACGCTGCCGCTGCCCGATACGCCAGCCGTGAGACCACCACCGGGAAGGGAGACGCTGGTGGTAGTCCCGAAGGAGACAGTAGTACCGCTGGGGCCAGCCACAACAGTAGGAGTAGCGCCGCCGGAGACACCGCCGCTGCCAGAGAGGTCACCGGAAGCACTGCCAGAAACATCACCGCTACCGCTGCCAGAGAGATCACCAGAAGCACCGCCGGAGACACCGCCGGAAGCACCGCCAGAGGCACCGCCAGAAACACCACCGCTGCCAGAGAGGTCGCCGGAAGCACCGCCGGAAACATCACCGCTGCCGCTGCCGCTGCCAGAAACACCGCCGGAGGCACCGCCGGAAAGACCGCCCGAAGCACCGCCAGAGACACCGCCGCTGCCAGAGAGATCGCCAGAGGCACCACCAGAGACATCACCGCTACCACCAGCAGCTCCAGTTGCAACAGGGGAAACACCGACATCACCAGTAGGAGTGGCACCAGCGCTGCCGCTGCCGCTGCCAGAAACATCACCAGAGCCACCGAGACCAGCACCGGCACCGAGACCGGCGCTGCCACCGAGACCAGCACTACCGCTGAGACCAGCGCTACCACCGAGGCCGGCACCGGCACCCAGGCCAGCAGAGGGGGTAGCAGCGGCACCGGCACCGAGACCAGCGCCAGCACCAAGGCTAGCACCAGCGCCCAGACCAGCGCTCGCGCCAAGATCAGCTCCAGCACCCAGGCCAGCGCTGCCGGAAGCACCGCCGGAAGCACCACCGGAGGCACCACCGGAGGCACCAGCACCCAGATCGGCACCAGCACCCAGACCAGCGCTAGCACCGAGGCCAGCACCAGCACCCAGGCCAGCAGAAGGAGTAGCAGCGGCACCGGCGCCGAGACCAGCGCCAGCACCAAGGCTGGCGCCAGCACCAAGACCGGCGTTGGCACCCAGATCGGCTCCGGCACCCAGATCGGCTCCGGCTCCCAGACCAGCGCTGCCGCTGCCAGTGGCACTAGCACTACCGCTACCGCTGCCGCCGAAGAGACCGCTCAGGCCGGCGCCCAGACCAGCGCCCAGACCAGCGTTCGCACCAAGGCTGGCAGCCGCGTTTCCTCCAAGTCCAGCACCCAGACCGGCACTTCCGCTGCCGCTACCGCTGGCACCGGCGCCCAGGCTGGCGCCCAAATCAGCACTGCCGCTGCCGCCCAAGCTGGCTCCCAGACCCGAGCTTCCGAAGAGGCTACCAGCGCCGCTCAGGAAGGGAAGGAGACAGGGAATGGGAATCGCATTGACGGAGACGGTCGAAGCGAGCACAGTCGCGGCGGAAACCTTGGAAACACGCATCGTGATTTCTGCTGGTGTCAGTTACTGGCCGTAGAGCACAAGCGGCGCTATACGTACCAGTTTGAAAAGGTTGACAAGAGTGAGAAAGAAAGAAGCGTGGAGGGTAGGAAAACGATTATAGCTAGATAATCGTGTGAGAACGAAGGAAATGCTACCAGAGCAATGGTTTTTTGAGGTTTAGGAGAGAGGAAAGAAAGAGAAAGAGAGAAGTGGATGAAGGATGATGATGGAAAAAAGAACAGAAACGCGAGGATGAAGACGCCTTTTATCTTGATTCTCGCAAGCCTTCGAGGCCGGATGAGGTTCGGGATGATCTATTTCGAGAATCGGCCATGAAACCCTTCGTGTTTGAGGGTCTGTGATCGTCCCGAAGGGGATCTCACTCTCTTTCCCGGATCACGGCAGAAAGGCGAGTCCTCGCCAGTCGTGAAGCGCCCTTTGGGTAAGGTGCCTGACCATCCTGGCTTAAAGGGAACCCTCGACCGTGGTTCTCAGACAGGGGTAGGCTAGACCGGGGTCCGTTGGGATCACGATGTGGTCCATGTGTAGCCTGGACTCCTCTTGCGTGATGGTGACCTAAGGCCGAGCGGTTGCACAAGCACATCGTGCAATGGGGAATGGACCATCACCATAGCAAAAAGCGAGGGGACCGGCTGGGGAGACTCCAAATTCGTCGCGTTGAAACGCGCTAGAGATCCAGGTTCTGCTTTGGTTCTGTATGGGTCTCACGACATGGTCCGTGTGCGAACAACATGAACAGCAACTACAGACCATCAATCATCCGAACAGTTGCCCTGAAAGTAGGTTGTGGTCTCTGCTGTTGGCTCATGTTTGTCTTGATTGCGATTGACACTGCCGAGAGGAGTGACACCAGCTTGAATGAAGCCAAAATGAGTTGTACCTGAAGCTTTCCCGGATATGAGAGAGCAGACCGTGGGTAGAACACCTGCTGTACCGAACAGGAAAATCCAAACAATGGTTACTGGAGCAGGCCGAGACGCGGGTGGTGGAGAAGTTCGGGGTTAATGGCCGACCACAAGTGGCTATTCTTAGTCTGTAGATTGAGGACGAAACTCAATTTGAAGAACATGTTTGGCTGGACTCTGGAGCAGGGACAATAGTCTCGGTCCCTCGAGGGTGTTCGGAGCCAAACTCGTCGGGCGTGCTTAGCACAGAGATTCTTTCCGACTAGGCTAAGGAAGCGGACCTATCGCATCCCGAGTTCGGTGGAAGGGCATCCTTCTTGGGTGGATCGACCGGAGAGCCTCCTGAGCTAAACCTTAAAGCCGGTTGCAAAAGAGGGTGGATGCTTGGTCGAAACTTCGATAGCTTCGGGGTTCTTCCCTACCTGGAGGGCTGCTCGGAGGCGGTGTGTCTGTGAGGGACTTCACATTCCCGCGGAAGACAAGTGTGGATCTTCGTGATTGTATGAGGTAGTGGATTGGTCAATTCTCCGGTCGAACAGGTGTTTTCATCCACATCACATGCGGAAGGCTTGATTTGAGGGTGCAATTGAGCAATTGAGCGATTGGGAGGCAGCTGCGAGGGAAAAGAATGATCCGAGCCCATTCTTGGGGGGTTCTTGGACCCAGAGCGCGAACGGTGGGGGTTTCATGATGAGACGATCGAAAATTGGGGTTGCTGAGAATCCGGGATCCTCAAACAGCGGCGAGCCTCACTAGCGGCTGATGCTATTTTGGGTGGGCGAGAGGCATGAGCAGTGGTTTGCTCTGTTCGAGCTGGACAGAAGAGGAGATTGTTTCAATACCATACTGAATACTCTCAGCAGGATGTTGTGATTGATGACTCGGGCGTGTACAGCATAATGCGTTGATGGAATGGGGAGATGGAGATGGAGAGGGAGCAGGAATACTAAGGGAAAGGAAGGGGAAAGAAAGCAAGAAAGGGAAAAAGTGGAGAATGGAAGGAAGAAAGAAGAAAGCTCGGGCCGAGAGTGGATCCGACCCTGGTTTCTGCCGCCCCCTTCCGACACTTTCAGCTTCACCTTTCAGGGTGAGGGGAGACTCACCGTAGCCTGCCTCAATCCGGCAATCCCTACTCCAATTGAATGATCGAACTACCTACTGCTTACCTAGTAGGGTGCTTAGTTGGCACAGATAGACAAAGGCAGTCACCTCTTCTTGTCCTTGGTTGGAACTGGATATCTGGGGGGATTTAATCCCGCTTCTATGTGAGCCATTCAACTTCCATGCCAAAAATGCATCCCTCATCAAACCTACCACGGACCGCCGGTCAGGAGACCAGTCACACACAGCAACTCATGAAAGATACTCTTCATGTCGCTCTACACTGAGCTTGGTGATGTCTCTTTCTCGATTCTCGATGTAAGGCATGAGAGACTCTAGACTAGCAGTTCATCCATGGACATGATTGCTAACACGGGCCAGGCTAACAAACCTTACCTCGTAGTATTTCCTTGCTACTCTCGTCTTTGCACCCTTGAAAATGCCTTTAATTCTTCCTGTGTCGCAGCCTGCTTGGTTTCTAAAGCCATCTCCGCTGCGAAAGCACAAATTTTCAAGTCAATTGTCTGTTCGACTTAAAGATAAACATACAACCAAGACTCACTATTGAAGGGACCAAATAATCGAAGTCCATACGGTCATACTTATGCCGGAGCCTTGGTATCTACAGTCCATACCCTCAATCCTATAAGCCACCAGGACTCAACCATTCCTCCAGACCAGATACAGATAATCCCCTCCCCGACCTGCATTAATATCGGCCGTCCACCCGCGATATCCCAACCCTCGAAGATCGGTGCTGCTCACCTCATCCGTGCTCCGCAGGAGCTTCAGGTTCGAGATCCCGAAGCCCTCCGCGGCCACGGTCGAGGTCTCCAGGTAGCGGTATTGTCCCCCGGCCCCTTTGGTTAGGTCCATCTGTCCTGGCTTCTCCGTGTCCGAGACCACTATCTTAATGTTGTGAAGGCAGTTCTGCGGGTCCCGGATGTAGTTGGCCACCAGCCAGACGTATCTATGACAGTTAGCCACCGCACACACACACACCCTAGACACTGGAGCAGCCAGAACTTACTTTCCGCCGAAGCCCGCGTTGATGTCGCCGTTCTTGTCGTCGACGACGGGGATGGTGTTGCTGGGTTTCTCGTTTTCGTGGTCGCCGTAGACGGGCTGGCGGAGTTAGCTTGGTTTGCCCAGGGAGGCACAAGAAGACACACGTAGAGACTGTTGAGCCAGTCGGTCATGTTGGAAGACGTTTGTTTTATGTTCTGGTAGTTATATAAATGGGTAAGGTCGTTTTTGGTAGTGAGGTCGCTTTATTGCTTTCTGTTGTCTGTTGTCCTCCTTTCAAGGGAGGAAAGTGAGAGATTTTATACAGACCAGCCTCCGCTGACTTCTGATGTCTATGCGACATGGTGAGCTCCGTGATTTAGCTAGAACTGAGGCTTCTCATGTCAGCGCCAAGGGACGGTTCAAACCAATGTTTTGACAGCCAAGCTGATGGCGCAGCTTTTGGTCGACGCCAAACACGAGCGAGGATAGAAATATTGAATGGAAGCTGGTTTCATCGGACCCTAGATTCAGCCGCATCATCAACGAATTTTGGCCGAATTATAACTCCCATCATTTACTCGCCGTGGCTGGCACGATGATCCCGCTGAGAAATATGATCACGATGTTGCGCCTTAACGTTGTCTGTTTGCTTGAGATATTGTTGCGGGTGGCTTGCGGCTGCAGCTGTGGCTGTCTTGTCCACTTCAATTCAAGGTTGGAATCCCACACCACCAGTGCGGTATTGACTATTTTTTTCCATATGGCGGCCGTTTCCTGTCGTCCGATCATGCCATTTAGTGCAGGGTCTCACTTGATGAAGGAACAACTTTGTGAAATTCGTGTTCGCCGATGACATTCATCTTTGTCGGTGACCAAACTCCCCCGATCATAGCATTTGACTGTGGATACAGCTGACACCACTGTCAGAATTGGACACACTATAGAGCAGAAAGTGCAGCTTGGAAAGTACTATAGTGCAGTAGTAGATATGTCAAGCGCTCTCCGTTTTGTTCTATGAAGACAAGCACATAAAACGACTTTTATGTACAGTTATATTCAGGCTTATTAAAAGATTATTAGTTATCTTGAGTTACCTCAGGTATATCTTTGCTTTCAAATTCACAGACTTCAAGAAAACAAAGGCCACTGGCGACAACCAGTCGGGCATGCCGATGGAATAACCGCCGTGGCTACGCCAACCCTATCAGGTGCAGCACTGCCCAGGCGGCCCGTGCGAAGCCAAGGTGAGCAACCCTCTTCCCCCAACTGAGCTGAAGATTCAGGCGATCCCCATAGAAAGAGTTCTGCCTAACTAACCTTCAAGTTACTCTAAAGCTAGTCCTTCTTCTAAATCATCCTTGATCGGATGGTCGGATTGCCTTTCATTCAGCACATTCCAGATGGTCTGAAGCCTGCGTAATCGTATTCCATCCCAATCATCATTTTTCTGGGCAAAAACGGGCACTTCCTGGAATGGCGACTGTAAGAGGCCCAAGCCAGGGCTAGGTGCAAATTCTGACATCACAAGAACCGGTGTAAGTCTACCCTTTCAGAAGAAGAACCAATGCCGTGCTTACCTCATCTAAGGTCGTCCTAAGCTACCTCATCACTGCCGCGATCGTGGCAGTCATTCTTGTGCTGTATTACCTGATGGTCTTTGATCCGGACTCCGATCCCTTCGAGAACTCGAAACAGGGGCATTCGCAGAGAGCATATCTCCCGAATCCAGTGGATAAGCTGATAATATCACAACGCATTCGTGCATTGAGATCGTGATATCTCCCTCTGGGGCTTGATGAGGCATCTGTAAAGGTCCATCTGTGCAAGTTCGGTTTTCTATTCTATGGCCTACCTTCGCACTATCGCGTGACTTCCAGGCATGATATGTCTTTTTTGAATCTAGTGATGGTGTGGTGTCTTGTGCAGAGCGGCGGAATGATGCAAAGTCCATACACCAATCGGCTACTAAGCTTTAGGGACACTCTACTCTACTCTATATTTCCGGCAATGCAGATATCATTGTCTGAGGAGAAGAGCTCAATTACGAATTTCAGATCCTATGCTTTTGAGGACATCCTATTCAACCATATCATATCTAAACCCAGTAACGACTCTTCTCGGCCGCCATCTCCCCAAGTCGCCGCAGCGGGGTGTTCCCCATCAGATCAAACACGGTGATACTCGCCCCGATCTCGCGGTTGAACCAGTCCTTCAGATCCACCATAACAAGGGAATCGATGCTGTAGGTGTGCACAGGGTCCCCAGGGTCGATATCCGCGGCCGACAGGCCCAAGATATGGCCCACCTTGGCCGTAACCCACTGGACGATCTGCTCCGTTGCCTCCTCGACCGAAGGAGGCGTCCGAAGACGACTCCGCCTTGCAGCCAGGGTATACGCTACATCAGCCATGTCTCCCGGATGCCGGCGTACAGATTCGTGATAGGATGCACCAAGCTTCTCTGCTGCAGAACTGTCTGCCGTAGACCAGACAAGTAGCCTTGGGACTCACAATACGGAGACATCTCTCGGCACTTCAAAGTCATCTTCTGACTCATTCGGTGCAGATGGCATCTTTATCAGAGGTAACGGTCGAGTCCGGTGAAAGCCCTTCAGCCCATTGTGCTCAAGGTAATGGTAAGCGTCATCAAGGATGACAGTGGCATTGGTACCGCCAAAGCCAAACGAACAATATAGTACAGTAGTGCTGGGTATCATATCTTTTTTTTTGGACCATAAGGCGAATGGATCCTGTAGAGTGGCTAATGGCTTGGGAGTGGGATAACTAGTGCCACTAACCTAACTATTGGTGCTTACGGAAGTGACAATGCCTGCAGTGCAGATCTACCGGTACCAAAGGGATGGAAGGGGTGGGGCATTGCCCTCCATCAGATGCACCTAGTCTTGTTGAGTTGTGAAGAATACCTTTTCCGCCCTGGAGCACTCCTATCTAACTAAAGTACATTACCGTAAAATACAATGTAGTACAGTATAGCATAGTAAACTACTAAGGATAATGCAGCGGTGTTGTGACGGACTCTTGTGCTGTATGGCCCCTAAAGCGGCTGAATCGGCTGATGTATGCATAACAGATTTTCTTTTATTTTATCTGATAATCATCTGATAACTGGTTTGATTTGATTAATGTTGGTTAATCTGGGCTGCTACGGCTACGGCTTCTGCTGCTTGACCTGTATTCAGTAATTGATGTACTGTATGTGCTTTGCTTTGCTTTGCTTTGCTGCATGGGTCTGTCTGTTGTTGCCTGTGGAACTCTGACTTGAAAGTGTGGTTTAGTCGGCTTACAGTACAGGGATTTATCCCTACAGGTTTTATTTACTGAGTGTCAAAGCTTCATGGTGACTACTAAACTTCTTCTGCTCACTTCCTCTCTGTTCTATTTTTTATTATTGATGTTTGGTGTTTATACCTATAAACTGCTTGCAGCGACTAATTGGACCTTTCCCCTTGGGGATATGTACTACTATACAGAACCTGGGGGCTGCGGGACAGTGATGCGCGATGTAAAAAAAAGCTTTGTGGATAGTGTGGTGTTTGTTGTGTGGTTTGGTACCCACTGTATTGAATCTGTGCCCGTGGCTGGTTTTTGACCCTGTTTAATTGAGTTAGCACTTCGAATGTAACTTTGAAGGGGGAAAGAGAGAAAGACAGCCTGTATGTGGCTTGCTGGGCTGACGACTAAGGGGTTTGAGGCCGGCAATCTTGAAAGGCAACATCCCTTGTTCTTATTTGCTGGGAATAAGCCTCTGCTGTGTTTGTTATGTGATTTCCTTCTGCTATTAGGTATCCCATGCGGTTCGATGCTATGCTGTTGTTTTTGAGTGGATTTTATGTTTTGCTCTGTTCTTGTGGCTGATATTTTTACTGTGGAGGGTAGATTTTGTGTGTCAATCTAATTGTAGCGTTGGAATGTTACCCATATGAGGGAGCTGTCTAGTCCTCAAGGCGGAGGTCGAGCAAAATATATATACTTCCAACAGCAGGTGCCGCACCCGGGTAATGATCTTAAAATACCTCTGTAAATCACCTCAAATGCGGACGTTTAAGCTAGGTGCGTATAATCGAGCCATGCCTACACTATGTAGAGATACGAGATTTGCCCGATAACCTCTCCGATATGAGAAAATTGACGATTTTGTCCAGAATGACAAGATCGAGAAGTCCCATTTTGGAAGCTTGTTCATTGCAGGACATATGTCAATAAGCTGGATGGAATACCACAACAACAGGTGCTGTGGTCTAGTGGTATGACGTCACGTTGTGGCCGTGCCAGCCCCGGTTCGATTCCGGGCAGCGCCACTTTCTTTTTTGCTTTGTTTCCTGTGCGCCTGTGAGATTGCCCGCCGAGCCATCCTTACTATGGACGAGCCGTGGGCGGAAGAGAAGATCGTTTTCATTGGCGCTTTCGCTCCAGACCCCATGGCTCGTTCCGACCATAACTGGCACCACCCATCGATGTTTACATCTTTGCTCTCCATCGCGGCTGCATTGCGCCTATCGACACCAAGCTGACATGAGTTGACCCAACCCACAAATTCCTGATTTCCAATCCCTCCATCGCAGTGCGGAATACCGCGCCCTCCCATTATCAAGCATCCACCCATGGAAGCATTCAATCACGCTTCGCCCCTTCCAAATCGCTTAACCTATCTGCACGGATGCCTTACAAACTGCCTTGGCATGGTCAGATGCAGACCACCATCCCGTCCCTGGCATCAGTCTAGACGCATCGCCACCAGACAAACCCCACGCGATGTCGTGCTTGGGCCGTGGATTGGCGCCTGTAGCGTTTGCTTTCCGAGGTGCGAGTCTATCCCTCCCGCTGCCCGTGCAGATACGAGCCTGGACATCACAAGCTACTGGGCCGCCTCTCAGCCACACCTCAGGAATTGACCCTGTAACCCCATGTCTGTGGCGAGCAGAGCTGCTTGTCTCGTGTCCACTGTCAAAGGTTGCATTGATGGTCAATGGTTTTTCATTGTGCAAAGCTGGGGGCGGAGATTCTTGTTCGTCCTTCGTTGAGCGTGGCAATGGCAGGGGGTTGAACCTGTTTATTAAGTGGCACCTGAGTGTATTGTAATCTCCGCGATACGATTCCTAAGCCTCGAGCATGGTAGAAGGAGGTGCAAGAAGGGTAAAGGGATAGGGGGTGGGATGTTATATACGGACCCAGACCCCGAGGTCAATGCAGTGTTCGCTCGGAGTACAGTACACCATCGGCAGCCCTAACCTCCCGCTGTTGAGGTATACTGTACAGCCCATCACCAGAACATTGAACAGTATACACTGCGCATCTAACGCAGAAACCACTCCCTTCTTTCATCGTTTATCTGAGACAGCCATTCTTCGAAGCAATGGGCCGCACGACCCGCCCCGCCCCTGCGCATACCAAGCAGGGCCAGCACCAACATCACCCGCAGAATCGCCAGCAACAGCACGCCCAGCCTAGAGGCCTGCGGACTGATCGTGGTCATCCACCGACTCATCATGCCGCAAGCGCACGCCAGCATCCGGCAGCGCATCCACACCCAGCTCACCCTCATCCAGCAGCGCACCCTCATCAGGCAGCTCACCAACCTCACCGCGCTCCACAGCACCACCCCGTCGCTCACCACCCCGCACCACACCCTCAACACAGTCCCCATACCGCCCACCCCGCCTATCCCTCCCACACTAGCCACCCGCACAGCAGAGCCCCCGTCATAGCCGGCGCAGCAGCCGGCGCAGCAGCCGGTCTCGGCGGCGCGGTAATTTACAACGAATGGAGCCAAAACAACGAAGCGATCGAGCTACGGGAGACGAACCTCAACGACCGGGACTCCCCGGACGATTGGTCCGGCGACGATGATAATACCAATGATGAAAACCGCGGATATGTGGACAATAATAATGATATGACGTACCCGGGGGTTGATGATGCTGCGACGACGACACAGTATACTGGGTATCAGGCACCAGAGGCGCCGAGGATGGAGAAGAGCGATGACGACGAGGATTGTTGTGGGGGATGTGGTGGGTGTTGTGATGGATGTTGTGATGGGTGCTGTGGGGGATGCTGCGGAGATAGTAATAATAACAAGGATGATGATGGGTGTTGCTGCTGTTAGGGCATTCGTGAGCTGTGGATTTGGGGTACTTGCTGTTGCTTGAGATGTACTGTATAGTTGATTATGTTACTACTGTGTAATTCTTTATTTATGACTGGAGATGGAAGATGTGGGGTAGTATGGTATGCATTACTAAAGGACGCGCTATCCGCTGAAGAAATTCGCTTAACCCAACTTATCTTTTCATGACTCACAGGGATATCGATAATCTGATCGATACGGCGATATTTGCCAATCGGAAGGCCACCCGATGGTCTGGGTAGCACCACTAATCCTGCATCGGGATCTCGGGATTGCAAGAAGTGGAGCCCCCGCAAGCAAAGAGTCTATAAAAATTTCGGACCCCGCTTAATGCCTGAAGAATAAGAATCTTGATCTCATCAGGTGTCTGGTCGATGAGCAAGGAATTTCAGCCAGAAATCCTCTCTCTCATAAATAACCACCAGAAAGGCCTATGGAGCTAGCAACGAACGCCAAAGGAACCACCTGCTCTCGCTCGGGGGTCGACGTGACCGACATCGAGAATGCCGTCGTCGCACGAAATACCAATGGCACTGACTTCGAGCTCCAGCTCGTAGACACTTCCACCACGAGCTTGATGCGCCACCCCGACACTAACGAGCAATTCCCCGATGGCGGCCTCAGATCGTGGCTGGTGGTGCTCGGGTCCTCTCTTCTTCTGCTCGCTTCCTACGGACTCATGAACTCGGTGGGTGTGCTGCAATCCTACCTCGAGACCCACCAGCTAGCCAACTACACCAGCAGCACCGTGGGCTGGGTTCCAGGTCTCTTCATGTTCATGATGCTAGCCGCGGGCGTGTTTGTCGGACCGCTGTTCGACACCTACGGCCCCAAGGCCCTAGTCACCGTGGGATCTGCGATCTACGTCGCAGCCCTGTTTCTCACCGCGGAATGTACCCAGTACTGGCAGTTCATCCTCAGTTTCGGCATCATGGCGGGCATTGGCAGCGCCTTGGTGAGTACGGTCGCGATGGCCTGCGTGCCGCATTGGTTCCAGGTGCGCATCGGGATGGCCATGGGAACCGCATTGGTGGGTTCCGGACTTGGGGGGGTCGTGTTCCCTTTTCTCTTGAAAGCATCCTTCGCGAAGTTCGGGTTCCGCTGGGGCATGCGGATTCTCGCTTTTGTGATTCTGGCGGTCTGTGGAATGGGGTCCTTTTTGGTGAAGTCGCGGTTGCCCAAGGGCGACAAGCTGAAGACGGCCATTGATGCGCGGTGCTTTAAGGACTCGAGGTTCTCGCTGCTCACGGTGGGAATCTGGTGTAAGTGCTTTTGCCGTTATCTGCTGTGTGAGTAATGCCTGGCTTACTCGTCAACCAGTCCTCGAACTCGAAACCTTCGCCCTGCTCGGCCTCTTCCCAACCTACGTCGTGGCGCTGGGATTCAGCGTGAATACAAGTGTCAACCTGCTCGTCGTTCTGAACATGTGAGCGAGCCCTCAGCCAGACTCTGAGATGTGTGTTCCCAGTACTCACCAAGCTTTGCGTAAAGCTGCTCAATCGTCGGACGTCTTCTCGCCGGCCGCGTGGGCGACAAGTACGGCCGGCTGAACACGCTCTTAGTCCTGGTGTCATCCGGCATCCTGGCCATCTTCATCATCCTGTATCCCTTCAGCCACTCGATGACAGCCCTGTACTTCTTCAGCGCGCTGTACGGCCTCAGCTCCGGGTCCTTCCTCAGCCTCGCACCGGTGTGCATCCGGCAGGTGTCGCCGGCGAAGGAGATCGGAATGCGCTTCGGGACCTGCTATGCACTGGTGAGCTTTGCGTAAGTCTTTACTCATGTTACGGCCAACCCGGAGACAAAACATCTGACCGAGCTGCTAGCGTGTTGATCTCCATCCCCGTCGGCGGAGAGATGCTGGAGAAAGTCGGATCCCGCATCGTGATCGTCTGGCTGGGATGTGTCCTTGTGTTGGCGATGTTTCTCTTCTTGACAGCTCGGTGGGCGTGTTTGGATTATAAATGGCATTGGAAGATCCGAGTATAATATGAATCGGACAATGGGCTGAAGCAGTATCGGTCATGCTGGTGTTGCTGGCCAAAAGCGTTCTTATTATTATCCGACCATTATGCTGTCAACAAGGTGCCTTTTTACCGGTTGATTGACGCATGCTGCATTTGATTCCCATACTACAGATTGCATCAAATGCAGCTTCCTTCTGCTCGAGCAAGTGTCTACTGGGAACATCGCAGGTGGTAGATGTAGTTGATCTATAGAAAGGTATGGTTCGTACATGTTGTCCGACGCTTCTTGCCGATCGGCCGCCACTCAACAGCCCCCGCCCCCAGCACCGAAGCCACCGCCAACCCAACAGCAACAAAGAACGTCCGCACCACCGCATCATGATACACACTCAGCAACATCACCAACGTATCTCCAGAGGCAATCGCCCGCAACCCAGCCGGCCCTGCTCCCAAAACCGCCTGCACATCCAGCTCCGCCGGCAACTCCGCGTGCAGCAGCCCCGCAACAAGCTGATTCTGAAAGACATTCTGGCCGACGAAGACGAACACCGCGCCGCCCAGCACCTGCACGAAGGCCATCAGCGCGGTGGCGGTGGGGATATCCGCCGTCGGGAGGGTGGTCTGGACCACGAACACGGGCAGCTGGATGCCCAGCCCTGCCGCCAGCCCGAAGAAGACCTGGTAGCCAGCCCACGCGGCGGCGGCGGAGTCCGGGTGCAGGATGGTCAGCAGCCCCGCGCTGATGCAAGTTAGGCCGGCGCTGAGAAGCATCACGGGGCCGTAGTAGTATCGCACGGCGGTGACGAGGAGGCCGGAGCCCATGGCCAGCAAGGCGTTGGAGAGGGTCAGTGGGAGGTTCATCACGCCGGATTCGGTGGCTGAGGCGCCTTTCACGGACTGGAACCAGATTGGGAGCTGAGATGCGGTGATTTGAGGTTAGCCAGGGGGGGGGGGTCTTCAAGGTGGCGTGATTGAGGTTCTTTGTGGGTGCTCACGTAGTAAACGAAGATGAAGATCGCGCTGTTCAGGCAGAAGCCGAAAAGGGCCGAGCCCCAGATATTGCGCCCGCGCAGGAGTCGAGGGGGAAGCATTGCTTTCTCGCCGGCGTACACTTGGAGGCCGATGAAGCACAGGAGGAGAATGCCGAAGACGGTGAATAGACTGATGATGCGGCCGTTTGCCCACGGGTACGTTGTGCCTCCCCATTGGAGGGCTAGTAGCAGGCAGATGATGGCTGGCAGGAAAGTGAGAATCCCTAGCGGGTCCATTCGCCGCATCTTCTCTTGCCAGGGTGCTTTCATGATTGGTTCGGTGCTTTGGAGGGCGAACAGGATTGCTAGTGCGGTGACTGCACCTAAGGGGAGATTGATGTAGAAACACCATCGCCACGTGATATTGTCGGTGAATGCTCCCCCGAGACTGGTCGCAAGGTGGCTGAGTCATTAAGGATTCATGTAGTCAGAGAGGATTGCCTACTTACGGTGGCGCGATGACACTACCAATCCCATAAATACCCATGATCAACCCAGAAAAGATCGGGCGACGGTGCCGTGGAATACATTGAGAGATAATGATCAGCGACCCGGAGAAAAGGCCACCCCCTCCGAGTCCGGATATAGCGCGCCCAATAATGAGACAGGTCGAAGACGGGGCAACGCCGGAGACGAGGGATCCAAGTTCGAACAGAAATAGCGCGGTCAGATACACCCATTTGATGGGGAAAAATGTGTAGATCCGGCCGTAGACAAGGGTAACGGCGCTGGTGGGGAGGAGATAGGCACTCGCGTACCAGCCAGCGTCAGCGAAGGAATCGAAATGCTCGGTGATTCTTGGAATTGTGGTCGCGACTATGGTGTTGTCCTAATGGCATGAATTTCTGTTAGATTGGGTGTCTTTTAAACGTGTTGGGCGATCGCGCGTTGACGGACCAGTGAAATACACAAAACACAGCAACATAGCCCGGCCATAATGGCCACCAGCTTGTAGCCGGTGAGGAGCGTGTTTTCGAGTTCTTCGGCTTGTTGGTTTGCCTCACTGTCTGTATCGTTTCTTGTATCAAGAGGAATCTCCTCCGCTTCGGGGCTCTTCGAGCGCGCCATCATGACCGTTGCCTTTGTGGCTGGAAATAATAAAATCTATTGAAAGAAGATTGTAGATAGGAAGATTTATAAATGCTTAAGATGCAAAGCTGTCACCCCAGAGATTGCGGAATGTTGTGCCAAACGTGCGGGGGCGAAAGGAGTCATCCCTTGTAGGGCACTAGGATCTCAACGTCGGGCCAGAAATCCGAGTAGCCCTCATGATTGCGGGACCTTCTCATCCTTCGACGTAGGTACTACGCCTCGGAGGCTACAATCGGTAGATCTTGATTCTTCCAGACCTTGGAAATAAGATCGCGTCCCTTAAAAGTTCGATATTTCTCAGTCAGGACGACAAGAATCGCTACCGCCCCTCAACATGTCAAGCATTGGCCCGAGGAATGTGGGAAGATAGAGGCCGCATTCGAGTCTCGAGATCTTCGTCGAGGTGTCGATAGGCTTGCATTCAAAAGATAGTCAACGCTTATTGCCTGACCCATCAGAAGGCTTAGTATCTTGGGGGCGAATCACTTGCGGGTATGGCTACAGATAACCTGTCATCCATGTTCAGCATAGAATTCAATGATAGTGTTGACTACAGTAGCCGACCAGCCTGGAGTTGTGGCATGGTATATGTAAATTGTACTCGAGAATGGTCATGGCCGATTCGCTTTCTGCGAGTAAACGAAGCTCTCGCTTTAGTAGAGGGGTGAGCATTATGTACAATCGGAATTTGTGAGGGTATCAACGGCTGGTTCACCTCGGTATGTACCGAGAGGCATAGTCACGGTTTATTATTGTTATGTTGCTGTATGAAGTTGCCACTCAGATTTGCCAGGATAAACGTACAGGACCAAGCTAAATTAATCCTAGGGCTCATTGGAGGATTGTTTCTGGGAGCTTTTCACAAGCCGAAGATAGCGGGCTGCGCCAAGAACCTGGAAGATGCTATCCAACGCTAAATTGGTTAGCTTCTCTTAGCTTCTCTTAGCTCGATTCTAACAAAGCCAGATAGAGTCTGACAGACATGGCAATCTGGAGCTCGATTCTGCTGCTCACTCTGACCTCGGAGATCTTCCGAGTAACTGGTAAATCTATTTAATCTAGACCTTATCATTTGCATCACTGTTGATTTATTCCACAAACGACGTTGGCTGACTCCTTGAGTTGTATGGGAAACCATTTAGCATTTGAAGTCACTTACCCTCATAAAGACGACATCGTCAGCATCTACGACGGCCTCACCACAACATGGACCTACAACTCAACGGACCCCATCAAGGAACCAATGGAGATTGCTTTTTTCCAAATCTCACACTTAGAAGAAGGGATAGACTACACTGTAGACGGTAAGAACATCACCGCAGGCATCTATACGCTGCAAAGATCATTCACGATGGCCGACGGATGGTACCTTCGTTATACCTTCGGGGACGAAATGTATCTATCGGGAAGATTTCAGCTGACACTAGGTCAGCCATCGAATGCTAGTGCGAGTTCGACGAGTCCGACCGTCGGTGGGGTCACCATCACGAAGAGTACACTCAACATGATCTCCACGAGTACAGGTGACGGCTCGACAATGCAGACTACAGCTGCCTCTTCCAGTGCAGGATCGGTTCCATCCAACACGGCGGGTCCGACCACCGATCCGGGTGTCAGTGACGGTCTAAGTACAGGGTCGAAAGCAGGGATCGGGGTGGGCTGCGCTGCTGCTGTGATTATCGGCGTGGCAGGGTTGTACTTGCTCTATAGGGCTAGGAAGAAGAGGGGGGAAAGTGCCGATGAGACACCAGTCAGTACGTGGGTTGCTGAAACCTCGGAGCTGGATGGGGGCAGCGGAGCACGGAGGCAGTATGAATTGGAAGGAAGTCAAGGGGTGGTGAAGGCGCATGAGCTTCCAGCGCAGGCTGAAATTTCACATGAGCTGCCAGGATGATTGGACCCGGGAAGTAAAGGCCGGCAATGTTTTGTCCGATGACGTCCGAGATCGGCTACCGCGAAGATCTTACCCGGGCCCGATGCACGGGAGGGCAATCGGGGGCCTTCCCGAAAGAGAAGTTAAGGGTAGTGGGGCCCACCCAAGATTCTTCCCCCAATCTTGGCATTTCGCCACCATTTTCTTCTATACATTTTATGGATACGGCGATGTATTCTCAGTACTTATAGGGCATCAAAGCTCCCGTCGCACTTCAATCTTCTCTGTATCCGAGTCCACATACTTTCAGGACTTTCAACCTTCACAATCCTCACAATGAGCACCACACAAGCCACACAAGCCGCCCAAACCCTCCTCAAAGCCGCACGCGTCGACCCGGCCATCTTCCAGCTCCGGCCTGACTATCGTGCCCTCCTGATGGTGGTGGAGAACATCCCCCAGGGTCCCAGCGACCAAATCAGCGAAAACCTCCTCCAGCAGGCCGAGACACATGTCAAAGAACTATTAGCTAACAAGCCCGTAACCGAGCTTCCGCACATCTCCGCCTGGCGCGAAACCTACAAGGCCTTCGGCGCCAAACCCCAGAAGACCCGCAACAGCCTGGAAGCGCTTACCCGGCGTGTCGAGGCGGGTCTGCCCCGGGTTAACCGTCTGACGGATATCTATAACGCCATCTCGATCAAGCACCAGCTGCCCTTTGGAGGCGAGGATCTCGACAAGTACGACGGGGCACCATTCCTCATCCGTGCGACGGGCACGGAACCATTCCAGACCTTCTCCGGTGGAGAGCCGCAGACGGAGCTGGCGGCGCCGGGGGAGCCGATCTGGTGCGACAGCACGGGGATCACCTGTCGGCGGTGGAATTGGCGGCAGGGCCCGCGGACGGCGTTGACGGATGAGACGACCCGGGTGTTGTTCATCATTGATGCCTTGGGGCAGGTGGTCTCGGATGTAGCGTTGGAAAGCGCAGCCGATGAGTTGGCGGAGACGTTGAAGGGGCTTTCGCCGGAGGTGCAGGTGGCTCGTCGGGTTATTAGTGCATCATCGGACTGAGCTTGGGCTGAAGATTTGCGTGTTTGAGTTTGGAGCTGTTTCAACATAGAAGAGCGAAGCATAGTGGTGTTCCAGAAAAAAGAGCACGATGTATAGACTGTATATAGAAAACATTCAAACAGAAAAATATGAGGTACCCAAACATGGTTTGCAAAAAAGCCTCACTACTCGGATTGGTGGGAAGGCTGGAACAAAAATGAATCCGCTATCCAGAACACTTCAATTGAGAGGAAGATTTAGTGACATGTTAGATGACACGGTGCAATGTCACAATGATACCTCTATCCTCTCATCAAAATTTCGAATATCTTATGTTCGTCAAGTCTATCACATGGCGTCTTGTTATTAGGATGCAGTGCAGAAAAGCAGCATGAACTCTCAAGACATCTAAGTATGTACAAATGGGCCGTTTCAAGTACATTTCCATCGTACAGTATAAAGCAGCACAGTGTCTATAACAATCTTATTCTATCGTCTGAATGCAGTCCGTACAAGATTTAAGAAGTACCTTGCCGTTCAACTTCTTTGCAGAATGGGATGGAAGAAAGGTGAGATCAATTCTTCCGTTGATCGATAAGTGTTTTGTTAGAGAATAAAAATACCAACACTGATAATTCAGAGTCGCTGTCGGTGGTACACGTTATTAACTATGAGAGAGACTGGGAAGCACGGCTAAGCGGCAGGTGCACGGACGCGAACTGTGCACTCCCATGGTCACAAGCTATGTATCACGAGTCAAGGCTTCGCCACACTCTGATTCTTTGCGGGGGAGCATTGCAACCGTGCTGATATGACTGTGTCAGATGCCGATAAGCTCCGATCAAGCAGTCGTGGCGCCGTCTGCAGAGCTTACTCTTCCGGTAGTTGATCTATTTCTGGCCGCTATCGCGGCTCTTCGGTGGAGATCTGACTCACCGGCCCCTTAGCTGGTCCACAATCCGGTGATCGGGTGACAAAAACAGCGATTGATTTGTACTTCCTCGTATTATTGGTCTTCTTTCGCTCACCCGCGCGCCCTTCACCCCATAGATCGATGAACACTAGGCATCACGAGAATAAAGAAGACACCTAAGTACTACCGGCGGTATCTTCCGTGTCCCGACATGTTCCGGTGCTGACCGTTCCTCATAGCTTCCTTGTTTAGACCATTGACAAGCAATGGGTAAGTACCTCAGGAAGTATACCCTGGGGATAGATGGGCCGAATGGCCGCGAAAAGTATAAGATGGATCATACATCCTGCTACTATATCATGCAGAACAACAAAAGAAACTCACACAAATCACTCCACCATCCAGTCACAATATGCCCCAAATCGACCTAAACATCCCCGCCTCCGGTAACACCGTGGAAGTGAGCATCATCGACACAACCGCCAGAATCCATGGTCCTCCCGGAATCTTTGTCGCACCAGAAGTTGGCGGCTTCAAGGACCTCAACACCGGCGCGTATGCATTCCTGGTCGAGAATAAGTCCCAAAACAAGCGGGTTCTTTTCGACTTGGGCATCCGCAAGGACTGGGAGAACCTGGCCAAGCCTTTATACGAACGCCTGAAGAACATGTTCAACATCACCATCGAGAAAGACGTGGCCGAGATCCTGACCGACCATGGAATCGCATTGGACACCGTCGATGCGATAATTTGGAGGTAAACCCGGACCCAAAACCACACAGAAGGAAGCAACTGCTGACCGTAAGCACAAACCGAAAAGCCATACGCATTTTGACCACGTCGGCGATGCCTCCACCTTCCCGTCCTCAACCTCGCTGGTAGTCGGACCAGGTGTATCCGCTGCCTCGCTGCCGGCCTATCCTTCCAACCCGGCGAGTGAACTGCTGGAGTCGGATGTCGTCGGGCGCGCCCTGGAGGAAATCCCCGCGGAGCAGTTCACCCTCAAGATCGGGGGGTTCCGAGCCCACGACTATTTCGGGGACGGCTCGTTCTACCTCCTCAATGTACCAGGCCACGCGATCGGGCATGTATGCGGTTTAGCGCGCACTACCAGCAGCAACGGCAATGACAGCGAAGCAACCAGCCCAGACACATTCATCCTCATGGGCGCAGACACAATCCACCACGCGGGCCAGCTCCGTCCCTCGGAACATGTCCCTTTGCCCGACCAGATCACACCAAGCCCCTACACCGGCGTCGCGATGCCCTGTCCCGGCGAGATCTTCGCGGCAATCCACCCATCCCCCGAGAAGTACCAGACCTCTGCATTCTACCATGTCCACATCTTCCCCAACGGAAGAAGCGTAGCGGCGGATCCGGAGGAAGCGGAGCGAAGCGTGGGCTCATTGACCGCATTCGATGGCGCGAGCAATGTCTTTGTGGTGTGCGCGCACGACACGAGCTTGGAGGGAGTGGTGGAGACCTTCCCTGCGATTGCCAATGGGTGGAAGGCGGCCGGGTGGAAGGAGACGGCTAGATGGCGGTTTTTGCGGGATTGGAAGGTTGAACGCGAGTGAGATGCAGATTTTGGAGGGCTGTAGGTTTGTTGTAATATACTGTACAATACTGTAGCTTAGCGTAGCGATTGATAACCCCGCTCAAATTATATTGATATCATCACCCTTTTCCGAGGCGCTGTAGTATCTGATGAGAAGACATTCTCGTGACAGGTGTACCAGTCCAGTTGTAATTATCCAATGGAATGCTATAGGTAGGATACACGGCCCTCGGGCGCTGGACGGGCGAGTCTAGCGTCAGATCCAAGAAGGGTATATGGTAGGCGTTTTTCATGGAAAGTGGAAAGTCGCTCGGCTTTGGTCGGTCACAGATGGGTTTACAACGGTTCTCGATGGTCATGCGTTCTCTGGAATGTGTTGCCCCCCCTGCTCCATGAGCATGCTTAGCAGGTGATGTCCAATACCTTGGCGAGGTAGTCACATACAGGAAGAGAGTTCAAGGCATAATTTGCAGTCATGGGCCAATGAACTGTTCCACCAGGATCAGTATCTCTAATGTAGTCAGCATAAGAGTTCGAAGTCTAGTCATGTTTCGTTCATGAATGCAGATAACAAGCTCTGGATCGGACGACTTTGTTCACCGCATTGGGCCCTTAATGTAAGATGACACGCATACTGTGCTTATATAGCACGAAGTATCTGCAAGACTCTGACAAGCTGACCAATCTCAAAAGCAAACGGACAAAAAGATGGTTACAGATTCTCCGCCAGTTCAGCAAGGTACGATGGCCCTTGCGGCCAAGAATACCCCGTGCAGATTGCCAAGTCACAGCCGCCTCGGACCTAACAGGCCACCGCATAAGTGCTAGGCTCTTCCAGCACTCTCCAAGTGAAAGACAATGTTGTTGAGTTGAGTGCTTTTCCGGTCGAGTAAATCTGATGTCATGCGGTAGAGACCATGTATAAGGGACGACGCGGGCCGTAACTGCCTCCGCCGCACCTTTTCGTTCGGCAATCTGTCTCCAGAGTCGGTAGACTAGTTTCCAATCCAGTCCAATGGCACTTCTATGAAATTGATGAGTCCAACTGTATCCAGACATTTTGTCCACAACAATACATCCTCTCGTTCGAAACCACCATGGCCGCCTCATATCATATCAAGCAGCAAGAAACACGAGCGTCCTCGTGCAAATTAGACGTATGTCTTGCCCACGCTCCTCAACCACCATATGACACTAAATCCACGACAAACCCAGATCATCATCGCCGGCGCCGGCATAGCGGGCCTAGGCGCAGCCATCAGCAGCCTGCTCGCCGGCCACAACGTGCACATCCTCGAGGCCACCTCCGAGATCAAACATGTCGGCGCCGGCATCCAGGTGCTGCCCAACGGCTCGCGAGTCCTGAAACACTGGGGCCTGGAGGAGCGTCTCAGCAAGCACTGGGCTGTAGCGAATGCCTACCGTGTCTTTGGCTGGAAGGGGAACCTGATCACGAGCATGAATGTGGAAGAAACAGCAAGCGCGTACCCGAACACGTGGTTCCGGGCCTTCTACCGACCCTATCTACAGCGGACGTTGCTGGAACGGATTGCCGAGCTGGGCGGGAAGATTACTTGCAATGCGAAGATTGTGGATGTCGCGTTCGATGGGGCTGAGGGGGGGACGGCCACGATCATCACAGAAGATGGTCGACGGTGGACGGCGGACCTGTTCATCGGGGCGGATGGCATTTTTGGGAGATTGGCCAACCAGGTCCTAGAGCATCCGACGCCACCGACCAAGACGGGGGATCTGGCCTACCGCGTGATGCTGGCGTCGCCAGATATCGTGAAGGATCCCGAGTTGGCGGAGTTTGTTACGCACCCGAATATGAATTTTTGGTATGGGCCGGAGAAGCACGTGGGTAAGTTGTTCTGGATGACTAGGAAATATGCGATGATGACTAACTGCGTGAGTAGTGGCCTATCCTCTGAGCAAGGAGCTCTTCAATATCGTCCTTCTTACTCCCGATGATATCCCGGAGGATTCGAAGGCGAGTACCGTGGCGGGGAATGTGGAGGAGATGCGCTCGCTATTTAGAGACTGGGATCCTCGGTACGTCGGATCAACTGCTGTTATTCAAGACCGCATTGGCTGAAGGTGGGGTAGGATTGCGAAGCTGCTCAGATTGTGCAAATCAGTCCATAAGTGGCGACTATGTACCCGGTTCAACACCGGAGGCTGGTCACATCCATCCGGAGCTGGCGTGATGATTGGGGATAGCGTCCACGCAACCCTCCCTTATCTTGCAGCAGGGTAAGTACTACAAAATCTGTTTCCGGAAGATCGTGTTAAAACATACCATACAGTGCAGGCATGGCACTCGAAGATGGTGCAGTCCTCGGTGAATGTCTCTCGCGTCTCCCAAATGGTGCACACACCACCAAGTCATCCCGCGAGTATCTCCTCGCCAAGCGACATGCCCTTGCGGTGTTTGAGAGGTGTCGCAAACGGCGAACATTGATGGTTGTTACCCGATCGAACGAGCAAAAAGACCTCGAGCACCTGCCCGATGGTCCGGAGCAAGAGTTGCGTGACAGAGAGATGCAGATGGTTCCGACACCGCCAGGGGAAGCATTGGTATGGCGAGATCCGGCCATTGCACCTGAACTATTT